TTTTTGGTTTTAAGATATATAGCATCAGGGTGATTTTTTAATCGAAATTTAGCCATATCTTTCCAAAAAAGAATGAAATTTTGAGTGCTAAAAACGTCAGCATTGTTAGTTCTTGACCATCTGCCAGAGGGCGCTAGGTACGGCCTTTTCTGGTGACATTTTGTGAGATTAAATTCTTTACAGCGTATGTCATATAATAAAATCTAAAATTTCGTTGATGAAATCGCTGGAAACGTACCTTACCGAAAAAATACAATTGACTGTTCTTAAAGTCAACCAGCTCCTATTCCTATGTCCGGAAACGAATGACCCATACTTCAAGGGTAGCTTATTTGAATAAATTTAGATAAAACGGTGCATTTTTACTGATTTTGAAGAGTACCTTTTCTATATAAAGTTATTACTTTATGAGATACTTAAATGGGATATACTGTAATAAGCCTAACTTCAAACAAGTTGACGTGTAGTTTACATCAATCAAAAATTATACGAGAATATTTAATATTTGTATAGAAATTTAAAAAGCAACATATGAAACGTTATTAAGTCAAGATAGAAGGAATTTATAACCAGCTTTTAATCTTAACATCCCTTGTTACTTATCAAAGTGACTCAGGCCTTTGGAATGCGTTCCACCATCCAGCGCAGGGTGACATGACCCAGCACCAATAACCATTATTATTTTTTTTATACTTCACCTTGATTTAAGGCTTCGTGACGTTGAAGGAATGACTTCTTGGAAGACGCTCCGGCCACTTACAGTTTAAAATCTTGTAACCGCCTTGACTCACTGAGGCATTTCCTGAAGCCGATTTCGGAGAACAGCTCTGGTTGGAACATAAAGCGATCGAGAATGTAGCTTTCACTTTGTAATTCATTTTTACGTGGGTACACTATCTCTTATAGAAAGAAACAAGCCTTAAATGTTACTCTTTGGCGTTTTTCGAAAGTTCAGACATTGGTCATTAATTAATTATATTGGAAAATAAGATAGTTATCAACTAATGAAATTGTCGTGTATTTTTGGCAAACTATGCAACAAAAAATATCGTGTTGAATAAGACTGTGAAGAAAGTTGTCCGCTTTCTTTTGAAACTAAAAGTTAGTCTTTAAATAATTAATTAAATATTTCATATTCATTACTCACAAGATGGAACCACTACAAATTTTTGCACACTATTGATTGGCCAAAGGTAATTTTTTTTTCAAATTTCATCATTGGTGACTTCCTTGATAACTGATTACAGTTACAACACAAAAAAGCTTGTTTTTTGGACTACGCATATACTTGAGCCCGCATTTAGGCAAGACCATCTTTTAGGGAATATCATTCTAGGCCATCTATTAATTTGCATTTTGTGCAGTTACTGGTAAAATCACGCTGACGGAAACTAAAATAGATTACCTGTTCCTGCCTTCTTATCAAGCCCCTTACTGACGTACAACAAAAATCGAAGAAAATAAATCATGAACATTAAATTCAGGAAGCAGTTATTACGTAGTATTTAAATTTTAATAACCAAGTCATAATTTTAGACAACGTTTAATTAGCGATCGAAAAGTTATCTTCAGAGTCAAAACATTGATTTAATTAATTCTTTCCCACCTCAAAAATAATGATTCCTGTGTAGCTTGAAACTGTAACTTTTTAATGAAACGAACCAGCATATTTTAAAGAACTATGGGAATTTTAAGACAACTCTCTTGCTCCCAGACATTATTAAAGTAACGGTTTATTTACGGTATCAATTTTTTCATTTACGCTGTCGTGCCTTACCTAGTATTTTGTTCTAAGAATGGATGTATGAACAATATTTTTTAGATAGTTGTTACTGATAGATAGACAGATATTCATAAAAGGCGTGGCAAAATTCTGTAATAGAGCATTGTAATAGGATATTTTAACGTAATATCTGTCAAGAATAATTTTTAATGTTGAGACGTTGAAATAAATTTGTCTTTTTTTACCGTAGTTATGTCAGAGCTTGTGTTTTTGTATTTAAATGAAGAGTTAAAAAGCTCCTATTCCACTGTCACGGCCTACCATATAACATTGTCCATGAGTAATTAGGCATCTCACGGCCTAATTAATGAGATTTGGTTGAAATACCTTATACACATTTTGGACGATATCAATGTCTGATCTGTCAAAATACATTATAACAAAATCTGTAAATCCCTACGTAATTGGAAAAAGGCCTGAAAAAGGTTTAACAATTACAAGATGTCTTATTTTCTTAATAAAAAAACCTTCTTTTCGTTTTTTAATAGTATCTCGCTTATTGTTAGCGATGGACCCAATAAACCCTACATGACTATGCTCGACAGGGAACGTTCTATCCAAATATGTAAAAATATACAGGGTGTTCAATTTAACTTAACAAAGTTAACATCCGCGGCCATTTTGTTTGGACTCCATTTGTTTTTCTACTATCATTTTCGAAAAATTCATAAAAACTCGTGCAACTTTTATATTCACATTTTTTTATAACTCTCAAAACAAAAAAGTTAAAGAGGGGGTCAAAACATAGTGAATCACCCTGTACATACCTATACTTAAAATTATTAAGTTTTATAATAAATAAGTTAGTTTTAGTGGAGGAATAACACTTATGGTAGTTATGTATAGGGTATACATAACTGTAACCCACTTTAGTACTGAACGCTATAAACACTTATTTTTACATTATTTTCTTGTAAGTGATAAAATAGATGCAATTTTAGAAAATTTTAGTATACCTACCTATAACAGTAAAAGTAAGATTACTGCTTTGTATTTAGAATAAAATCCTTGGTAAAGTAAAAAATTATTTTCTGCATACTTAAAATAACTTCTTTCTGTCTCTTCCACCAAAAGTACAAATTACAACTTATACCTATTTCTTTATACAAATGTGGGTCCGCTCTCTCTACCCTTTAAGATTATAACAAAATTTACCAGGACATATCTAACCTATTCCTCGGTATTCATGAATACTTGGATCATTATGGACAATCTATACTTATTATTCATGAAATACTTTCAACGCTTATATTATTTCTGAGTACTAAATCCTGAATACACATCTAAAAATGATGAATACGAGTGCCGAATATTATCAAATAAAACAATAATATTCAGTAGGTACTTGAATACTGATTACACAAATATTGTTTCGAATAATAATCACTGACTCACTGACACATTTTATTTTCGAGTAATACCTAAAAACAAGCTGTAGGAGTGATACATAAAAGTATTTTTTTAAATGAGGACTTTTCTTCTAGCTCTAGATAATTTAACAAAGTCTTAACAGTTTCTGTCTTATACCACGTAACGCTTAAGACATCGCTTACGTCATTCTTTTGTGACTGATTCTGTGTAAGGACAAAGCAAATGTTCTAAGGACAAACGGCGACGCCATAGAGTCGTAACTACGCTGTAAATAGGTTTCACAACACGCTTTTATCTCGCTATATATCACGATCTGAGCAGTAAATTGGACCGGAGCAAATAGGTGGATATCTACATCTGTTCGACGCGTATCAAAGCAGCGGTTGTTAAACGATGTTAATTATTCAAATACACCTACGCGTACTTTATCGGTAACACGGAAACTGTTTTAATTTTTTTTACTTTTTAATAAGTGGCGTGAGCAATATGATTATCAGAGAAACCATTTTGTTAATCTTAATTTCACATTGATAAGAAAAGAACTACCATTTAGATTAAAATGAACAAAATGGCGCAGCAAGTGTGTTTCAATTTTTAAGCAGGGTCTTAATGACTACGAAATATTAGGTACATTTTTAGGTATACTTTAGGTATTTTTTAAATTAAAACAGAAAAAACTCCATTATAAACAAGGAAAAACATTTTTGGGAAATCGAAAATAACAAAAGTGAGGAAAAATAGAAATAAAAATTCCAAGAAGTAATAAAACAAATTGTAAAACAAAATTTTTGTTAAAAATATGTACTCTAATCTGAACTATCTTGGCCTAACCCATGGGCGTAGCTAGGAGTTTTTCTTGAAGTGGGCCTAGGGCTGCTGCAAGCTATACGGAGGCCTAAAAAAAAACAGGCAATCAACGTCTTCCCGATATAATATTTCAAAACTCTCTAACGTTTGATTCTAAAAAAAGGTAGCGCAGTCAGCGTCTTGCCGATATGTCAATGATATTATTGAATCTTTTTTTTTCTGGGGTGGGCCTTGCATACTCCTGCTCTCCCCTAGGCCCATGGCCTAATCTGATTTGATCTAACTTAATATAACCTAACATAACCTAATTTAACCTAACCCAGCCTAACCTAATGAAAAAATTAATGATGACGACAACTTGACAGGCACAAAATAATAAAATGTCCACAACACGGAAGAACAAAACAAACCAAAGATATCTACTTACCTGTCATCTTTTGTTGAGTATAATCACCTCAAAAACTAAACAATTTTAACATCTACAAAACAATATGGCATTTATCAAACAAATGCTGTGAAGCAGAAGATAAATATTTAATTTTTATTATATTTATAAAAAATAAACCATCATCACCTATTTATCACTATTTATCACTATTTATAAATGATGAAAGTTTAGGTAAAATTAAAAATGTCATTCAGACACCTATTAATGATTAGACTTGATCAGCCATTTTGCGATTACCTATTGAAAATGCGTTTTGTAGTGCAACTTTATTGTCACACGGTGCAGCGCATGGTGAAAAGAGAAAAACAATTAGGATATATGATACATACATTCTGCATCCGCAACATTTTGGCTACATTTACCGTATATGTAAGCCATTTCAATCCCAAGTTTATGAAACGTTTTTTGGTTAAAATAACATTTGCTACCTTCTGCTCCAGTTTCATATCATCTTTAGATACACCTTGTACAATTCAATTAAAAAAAGTTAACATTTATTACCTAAAATAAAAAGTGCTAAGCACTCACTTCTTTAAAATATTGCCTTTCGAAAAGATATGTAAGTAAATTTTTGTAATTATCTCATTTCAGGAGCTGTTTTCCCAGCTACAGTTCTCCACTGAAACTGCGCTGCCTCCCGATGCTCTCCGCAGGGCTCTAGCTGAAAGCTTCTTCGACCAGAACCGTTTTCAGCTCGGTTTCATGGACGATGCAGCTGAATGCTTCGAGAACATGTTGCTACGCATCCATACCCACATCGCCCAAGGGGAAGCCGAAGATATGTGCAACGCGAGGCACTGCATCCCTCACCAGAAATTTGCCATGACCCTGGTTGAGCAGAGCGTATGTGGATCTTGTGGAGCTACGTCAGAACCACTGTCGTACACACAGGTAAGGAAAATCTTATTTACAAACAAGTAGGTAATAGGGTGTTCGGTTACTAATCAACGACTAGATTGTACAAAAAAAATCAAGGTGGTTCAAATAAAATATAAAGGGTTATCCATTTCGAGCTTGGGATAGTAAAGCTCTGCCAATTAATATTTGTCAAATGTCACTATCATCCAGACTGGTATTTGTTTAGTTAAAGATTTGCCATTTCACAATATGGAACATTTTACGACCGAACAACGCGTTAAAATTACTAAATTATGCTACGAAAATGATGGATCTTCGGTGGCTGCATTACGCGGAGATTATGATTGGCATAATCGTCCATCCCAGCAAACAACCACCAATACAGTGAGAAAATTCCAATAGACTGGATCGGTAACAGACATCGTAAGATCTGTGCATCATCGTTTTGCCCGTTCAATCGAAAACATAGCCGCTGTGAATGAAAGTGTAAACGATGACCCGAATCTTTCGACTTCAGCATTTGGGCCTGTCATACGGCATACTTGGCGCCATGATCATCGACTTTTTTTAGCCTGAAATTGAAGATTTTGGTCTGGTAGTTTCAACAAAATGGGGCCACATGCCACACTACGCGGCCAATTATGGCTCTATTGCGCGAGAAATTCCCAGGACGCGTTAATTTCAAGATTCGGCGATGTGGCTTGTCCACCAAAATCCTACGATTTAACGCCTTTGGATTTCTTTTTGTGAGGCTATGCGAAAGACCGTGGTTATGCGAACAATCCCACATCTTTGGAGTAATTGAAGGACGAGATATGTCAAGTTATGGCCAAATTATTGCCCGAATTGTGTGAAAAAGTCTTTGAAAATTACCTCAAAAAGATTGAGTCCTACAAACGGTTCCGTGGAGGATATTTGAATGATATTGTTTTTCACGCATAATGGCATAGTCCAAACTTTATTATGAAATAAAAATACAATCGAAATTTAAATATTCAGTGTTTTTTTAAAACTTTACTTTCCCAAGGAGAAAATGGATAACCCGTTATATAAGGGTTTGTAGATCTACCTCCAAAAAAGAAAATATCAAAAGATTGTGCAAAAGTCCAAATATATTAAACAAAAACTTGTCTATCTAAGAACAATAATCTCCTTCACAGAAATTTGCATGATTTATTTATTCAAAACGCAACAATCAGTTGATTTTCTAAGTACTCTTTGAAATTACAAGAACATTTTCTGAGATTTTGAGCTATGCCATTATTTGGTTTCTACGCATGAAACTGAAAGAGATAAGGGCAGTAGCATTTTACATTAATATTCATGGGGGTGATTATTAAACAAGGAAAAACTGCTAAGAAAATTGATTATTACTCTTTTGTGCAAAAAAAATTGTTGTTGAGTGTAACATATAATTAACAATGAAGGAAACGACGACTACATAAATACCCTTTAACGTATACATTTCTTGGTTGTAATACTGATTCCAAATGACTATATAATAAATACAGAGTTATATTGCTGTAGTGGTAAAAGTCTTGTAGATAAATAATGAAAAATATCTCCAAGGCAAGTTTCATTACCCTGAAGCCTTATACAGATACAGTCTAAGAGAATTGGCCTTGAAATTGCCATCTTATGAACACATATTAATTCTGATATTATTGTGAGACATTCCCTTCCACTTTGTATCAAATTTAATTGTTGAGATATAACACGGTTCATTAGCGACAATTAATAATTAATTAAGGTATACGTTTCAATAAATTTTCATGGAATTTATTGCAGATGGTCCACTATGTTTCTACATCCACACTCGTCTATCAAGTAAGAACCAATGCAGGGCGACCCAATCCCCCAGATCCATTTGGCCAACTTTTGAGAAAAGCAGGAAGCATGGGAGACGTACGCACATGTCCAGTAAGTAATAAAATATGCAATCTTATGAGTGTTCAAACATCACCCTACAAGTTACTCATATTTCTGTATTGTTGCAGAGTGCATGTGGTGCAGTTATCCAAATTGGAAGAACACTCATGAATCACCCTGAAATCGTTTCCATTGGATTGGTATGGAATTCCGAAAGGCCAACCCTTGAACATATCATGGAAGTGTTTTCCACCATCGGAACGACTTTACGACTGAGTGATATTTTCAACACAGTGGCGGATAGTCGCTGGTCTGAAAATTCTATGCACAATCTAGTGGGTGTGGTAACATACTATGGAAAACATTACTCAACGTTTTTCTTCCACACTAAACTAAGAGTGTGGATTTACTTCGACGATGCCACTGTCCGAGAAGTTGGACCTAGATGGGAACAAGTGGTGGAAAAGTGTAGGAAGGGAAGATACCAGCCTCTTCTTCTTCTGTATGCCCTACCTGATGGGACACCTGTTAACACTGAAAATGCCCCTAAACAAGTTACTCCATTTTTCAACGATAAGGTGACAAAAAAACCTCCACCACAATCGGTTTTACGACGTTCAATCACACCCAGCCCTGAAAAACCCATGGTGGGAAATACAAGACGTGCCATTACCCCCAACCCTGATGGATCGTCATTAAACCATCAGAAACCACCACTGCCAAAGCCTTACAACGAATACCAAAATCTTTCAATAATTCAAAAGAATTTATACGAAAACCACGTAGCAGCAGATGTAGACGTGGTCGATGGGTGCATGGGAAGAAAAGATCCTGAATATGTAACAAGAAAATCATTAGATTTCAATAAACCGCAAGTCGGCGTGCACAGAACCTTAAGCAATGGCTCGTCTTCTGGAGTCGAGGGCATGACTATTCCAGATCACATGAATATTCCAAGAAGAAGAGATAGTGGGAATTGGAGCGGTGACCGTAATAGTGCATCATCCGCTTCTTCAACGACAATGGAAAATCCTTACTTATACCTTGTCGGTAAGGTACCAAATGGAACAGGAAGTGTTCCGGGCAGTCCAACCAGAACAAAAAGTGATTCTTCCAGTGGGAGCAGTGGAGTTTACGATGCGGGATACGACTCATACTCTCTGTCCTCGAATGACAGTTCTTCAATGACCACTTTGCAGCATCTAATGAAAATGGGGCACTTAGCAAAAATTCCTGAAGATTATAATAATGTGTCAACAAATCAAACGCTCCAGCAGAGCTGTGACGTACTGTGCGATGAAGCAGACGAGCTTTTAGTAAAGTCTCGACAACTAGAAGATGAACACGACTTAGTTCTAGCTTTAGCTTTGTGCAATGCAGCAGCAACAAAAGCAAGAGCAGCCATGAACGCTCCATATAACAATCCGCAAACTTTAACTTTGGCCAGAATGAAACATAACACTTGTATCATGAGAGCTCGAAGCCTCCATAGAAGGATGACACAATCCCAAAATGCAAACAAAGAGAATCCTCCTGAAATTAGACACACTCGTGAAGGAAGTAGTGCAAGTGGTCGTCATTCACGTCAAAATTCTAGGGATAAAGGCAACCATTCCAGGCAAAATAGTCGAGAGCTTTTGGTACCAGAGAAAGAAAAGGTACAATCGTCAAAGAATATAGAAATTTATGCTACATTACCCAAGAAGAAGGATGCATTGAAAAATAAACTAACCATAAACATCGGCGAAGATGACGATTACATTTTGTATGACAAGCCTCCAAGTCGTGAATCTCGATCAATATTTTCAAGATCAAAGAATAAAGATCAGAAATTAAGGGAAAAGAGGTCGAGAAGTGAAGACAGAAACAAAATAACTAGAGACTTTTCCATTGCTCCTGAGATAATAACAGGAAAAGATACTCTCAAAAAGGCGAAAGAGGAGAAGGAAGAGAAGAAAGATAAAGATGGCAAGTCAAAGAAACAGCACAAAATTCGTCGCAAGCTACTCATGGGAGGTTTGATTAAACGCAAAAATCGTAGCATGCCCGACCTAACTGATGCAAATGCAGTGAATGACGCCCCTACTCATCCCCAACCACCTACATCTACAGTAGATGATAGTAATGTGGGCCTAAAAGGTGCAGGAGATAATCCAACTGGTATGTGTGGATATTTATCTGAAGGACATTTAGAGTTTGCTGGAAACAACGCAAATCCAAACTTGGAGAGGAGCAAGTTAATGCGGAAGAGTTTCCACGGAAGTGCTGGAAAGATTCTGACTGCAGCTAAAGTTCCGCCACCTCCGCCGCTCCGAACTACTTCCCAACTTAGCAAGTCTAAGTTGAATGGCGGAGAAGTCTGTGACGAGAATAGCGAGAGGCCTAAGTATCCACTACCCAACGATATCAGTTTTTATAATGGCCCCGAAAACTATCACTACAACGTAATAAATCAGGATTATATGAACCAGGAGCCTGTTTCTTTGCCATATTATCACGACAATTCTTACAATGATGATTCTTACTATCGTGCTTCCCCTAACACTGTGATTACTCGTGCAGATGTGCATCATGAACAAAGTCCGATACAGTCCACAGACTTGCATAACACAGACAGTGGAGTAGATGAAGTAGATTGTCTTCCTCCTCACAGTCCTTTGCCGATTTTGGACCTACCCCCGTACCCTAGTCCGATGGGATCGGTGGTGCATTCAAGGCAGGCAAGTGAAGACTTCCCTCCTCCACCGCCACCTTTAGATCTGTCAGCTCTTGACGAACACTTGCCCAAATTGTCATCGTCACCTATACCACAAACACCCAGTACTCTCTTGACGGAATTGCAAATGAAACGTCAAGAAATACTCTCTAACGATGAAGTACAAAAAGCAAATTCTATAAATATTAAATCGTCTGGTGATACGTGGTTGAAAGAATTGCAAGCTAAACAAGCTGCTCTGAGGAATAAGAAGATACAAAACGATCAAGCACCTGAAGGTGTTGATGTAGTAAATACACAAAAGTACTTGCCAGGAGAAGCTAAAGTGAAATCAGTTAAAGATTTGGCTTCCAAATTTGAAACTACCAACCAAAAGCAGAATATAGAAGTGGTTAAATATGCCCTTGCTGAAAAAGTTTCTAGTAACCTAGACGGTATTAAATGTGATAGTAATGGCGTATTATCAATGAAAAAACGTGAGGAGTGTGATCATATTGCACCCGAACAAATTGCAGAGGAAATTAGAGAAGTAGAGATGTTAAACGCCACGGTACAAAAAACGTTAAATGCCAATCAGGAATCTAGTGAGGAACATAAAAAGAGAATGTCGAAAAAGAAAAGCGTTTCCTTCTGCGACCAAGTTATTTTAGTGGCTACAGCTGACGAACAAGAAGACGATAGCTACATTCCTAATCCGATTCTAGAGAGGGTACTACGAACAGCAATGAATAAGCCCGAAACAGCTGCTATAAGGCAGGAAATTTTCAACTTACGCGAGAATGAAAATAAGAAACTAGAGACACCTGAAATACCTCTTAATACGACCAGCGAAGCACATTTCAATCAACCACTGTACGTTAGGAGGAATTCGGTAGACAATCTCCTAGGTAGACAAGTTGAACATGAAGTGCCCAAACAGCCCCTCCACAGACAAAGCCCTACTTGCAATATCCAGCCACAACCTACAATTCCTCACAGCCAGAGTCCCGCTTTTAATACACCTAATACTCATTACAATAATCAAAGTCCTCATCATTTTAATGGTCAAAACGCAATATACGACTCAAATATGCAATATCATGGACATCCTACTTATAACGGTTCTAGCAGCCAATATTATGCACAAAATCCTCAACCCGTACAACCTGTTCCGAGTCACCCGCAACTATTACGACAAAACTCCCATAATGAAGTCCAAAGTTTGCAATACAATCGACAAAATTATCCTCCTGATGCTCACTACAATTACAACAACGTATACGGCTGCCCAAACACTACCGGATATGAAACTCAGTGTACAGGAAATTGTTCACCGATCAACTATAATACTCAGCCCACAGCTTATAGGCAGTCGCCCTATCAGTTAATTCCTCAAAATTCACAAGCCTATGCAACTTACTACTCTAACAACAGAGTAAATTCTGCTACGATACAAAGTAATTTGCACCAGAACAGCCCGCAATACTCCTCTTCCCCTCGAAACGCCTACTCTCCTCAAATTAGACAGTCCACGCCAAGCCCCATGAACGGATACCCGAATTACCAACATCCGCCTTCGCCCGCTCCGTCCAGCGTGAGTTCTACTTATAACTACCAACAAAACATGTACCGAGGTCCAATAGCATGTGAAACATCACTTCCTAGCATGCCTTATCAAAGGGTGCCACAACCGGTCGATCAACCGAACTACAACAGACCTCAAGCAAACGAATACGACCCGCAACAAAACAACTCTCCCTACCAAAGAGTTCCGCACCCATCTGAAAGACCCGACGTCTACCAGAGGGTGCCGCCACCGCACTGTGAGCAAGACGTGCAGTCTTACAAACAGAACACACCTGGAAACTATTCGCCATATCAGCACGTTTTACCGCCTAAGCAAATCTTGAAAAAGACTGTTAGCTTTGAACCTGGCACTAAAGGCGGTAATGAGTCGCCAACACCTAAAGCCGTCGTGACGCCTATTATAGTGAACAACGCGAACAACAGTGTGCCTACGGACAAGACTAAGTGCAATCTGTGCCGGAAAAAGAACGTTGTTGCGTCTAACTTATATTGTCAGGATTGCGAGTTTTATATGTCTAGGTTTAAGCCCCGCAGTTAGTTAGTAGATGATCCTTAATTCTTTTTTACTGCAGTTTACTTCAAAATTATTAAGATATTTAAATACAGTGAAATACAAAGAAATAAAAAACAGTAATTTGTTTATAACTTACAGAAAAAGTTTGTAACAAAACGATTACTTAAGATAAAGAAATATTCGATGTGTATAGTAAATTTACGAAATTTTACAATTTATCGTTTCTGTAGGATGTTAATAAAGTGAGATTTTTACATTTGCATATTTCTTATTCAAATATTTTGAGAGCAAGAAGAAAATTTCTGTAACGGGAGTTATGGATCACCCTGTATATAATGTACATAAGATTTTTGTAAAAAATATTGTGATATTTTGTTCAAATTTTATAGAAGTTTTATATAGATTATTTAAAGATCTCATAGGACTTTTAGGGACATTTATACATTAAAATTTGTATGTATTGACTTTAATAAATAAAATAATTACTAACTTCTTTTTATTACCCAACAACCAGTCAAGAAATGCCATGTAGCAGAAATAATAAGCTATTTTCTAGTCTGCTAATATTTATTTAACATTTCAATTGACATGTTATCTTAGAATTTATAATGAAGAATAAGTTGGCTACAACAAAGAAATAACATACATTTATTTATATTGTCAATTTTAACAATAATGCTAGTCTAGTACATAATTATTAATTATACCTTTCATATTAATGATTAATCTATTGCTTTTATTGAATATACATTGTCCAGGAAGTTTAAAGAAAAACTTCACAAATGGCAAAAGGACATACAGGGTGTTCCAATTTATAGATGTACAGATCATTGCATAACAAGAAAAAATAAATTAAGGATATATTTTATTAAATAAATCTTCGGAATATCCTCCAAAATTGCAAATCGCAGGACTGCTATGATTGTTTTTAAGTACTAATTTTTGAAAAATTGTATTAGCAATTATTATATAAATATATATAATATAAATTTAAAAACGTAATCATTCCTAATATATTTCGTTTCAATTAGAGCAGAATCTCGCTCTGCCAGTAACCTGACACTGAGTCGATTACTCTACAGTCGGGCAGTTACAGTTTCTAAAACTCTACGACCTGGTGCTTGTGGTCCATCTGTGTATTATATTGCTTATTAAGGAATTTTAAACACATCATTATATTAATTCATAATTTTTGGTCATGAGTTCTCAGTTTTACAATATACCAGAGTCAAAATGTAAATAAAGGGTGGTCCAACTAGCAGTATCTTTTTAAATCAGATGTTATTTTGACACTGACAACTCATTCCCGCGGAAATAAGTGACAGGAATTCAGTATCATATCTCCGTGGTACGAAATGAATCAATTTACGCTTGAGCAACGTTGGGAAATATTGAAAACCTATTTCCAAAATGAGTGCTGTGTTGCCGAAACAGTGCGAATTTTGAAAAGAAATTTGAAGCACTGACGGTGGGTGGTGTACACAAATTTGTGAAGAAAGTTCGTGAGACTGGCATGTTAGTGGTTAACAAAGGGGGGCCCCGCGTTAGGCCATTACGCACAGCAGAGAATATTGGTGCTGTACTCGTCAATGTGCAAGCTACTCCAAGAACATCAACTCGACACAGATCCCAGGAACTGAACATTAGCCAAACAATGATGAGAATATTGCATAAAGACCTCAGATTATTCGCGTACAAGATTCCAATGTCTCAGAAACTGAAGGCGAACGACCACCCTCTTCGTTATCGCTTCTCTGTTCGGGCCTTAGAGCAGCTGGAAAATGACAGTGATTTTGCTCAAAAAATCATCTTTTTGGATGAGGCGCATTTTCATCTCGAAGACTATGTAAACAAGCAAAACTGCCATATTTGGGGCACAGAAAACCCACATGTAGTCTTAGAGAAATCAATCCATTCCGAACGTGTGACCGTTTAGTGTGGTTTTTGGAGTGGAGGCATTATTGGCATATTTTTCTTCGAAAGTGATGAAGGAAACACGGTCATGGTTAATGGAGAACGCTATCGAAGCATGATTACCGATTTTTTTTGGCCAGAAATTGAGGGTTTGGACTTGGGCGATCTTTGGTTTCAATAGGATAGCGCTACGTGCCACACAAGCCGTCAAACAATCGATCTTTTGCACACTAAGTTCGGTAATCATGTAATCAGCATCAGTTTTGGTGATGTCAATTGGCCTTCACAAAGCTGCGATTTGACACCTTTAGACTTTTTTTTGTGGGGTGCCTTTAAGGATAGATGTTATGCCAACAATCCAGAAACGATTCAAGCACTTAAGCACAATATTCTTCGGGTTATTGGTGAAATACAGCCCAAAACCATTTAAAATGTGCTGCAAAATTGGGTCGACAGGATGGGCTACTGCCAAACAAGCCGAGGCAGCCATTTGAATGAAGTTATTTTGCATAATTAATCAGAAGGTTTACTCTTTTCAATAAAGCAATAATACTGAACGGTGTTTATATTATAACATTTTAAAAAAGATATTGTTAGATGGACCACTCTTTATAAAATGTAAACTTTAGATTTAAAAGCAGAAATATTAAAAATACTAGATGCGTGTGAAAAAATTTGTGAATTCTGCCTTGTGTTATAATGTTCAACAGGCCACAAATATATCACGAAATTCGCCAAAATCGTTTCAACATTGAGAACTATATAGAGACTACACACTGGTCCACGAATACGACACACATTAAATTGTGACGATAACCCAAACCCAAGCCAATTTTTTTCAAAAATTTGGACAGCTCACCGATTTCTTGCAAAATACTATACGAAAAAGAAAAATTTTTCCATCATTACCAGTTGTACATAAACATCCAAGTTAAGCATCACGGACGCAGGTTGGAATTTGGATGGGTGACCTAAGGCAGGTTCGGCAGCCTACCAGAGGCCTGGGTCGCTCAACACGTTCCGCATTCGTGTGGTCCCCGATAAAAATGGTAATGAGAATAGAGCAATAAATCTCTGTAACTCAGGACCATGCTATCATACATAACAATTGTACGAGACTTTACCATCTGTGTAGTAATAGGATAGTTTGAAGAAATGTACTCGAGTAATGAAGGAGGGTGTACAAGGGGCCTAATAAGGCCTAAGAGCCCCGATGGAAAAAACAATTTCACCACCCTCTGATATACAGACAGACAGATAGCCATAAATATCAAAGCAAACTTTCCTTCACAGAAGATATATTGACCGTGTGAAGACTACACGTTGACGTTTTCGAAAAGTTGTTTGTTACAAAACAAAATCAGCTTTTATTTTGTAAATCAAGCATAAAATATATAATTTTTAAGCATGGTTTCTTATTTGTTTATAAAAATTATACAGTAATTTGGCATTTCCAGTAATCCCAAAAATAGCACAGCAAGGAATAACAAAAAATTTTTCACAAATTAACACAGAAAAAAATAATAAATAAGCATTTGCAATTCTGGAAGAGTTAGCATCCAAGCTTCCAAATATGTGCATTCGTAGGGCTTATTTAACAAAAAGAATTTGACTTAATATTTTTTGAATTCTTATTCACCTGTACACCAATAAATCGTTATGTACTGTATAAGATGTACTAAATTTCATACGTCGTATTGTTCATGATATTAAAAAAAGTAAATAAATTTGATGCCTATCCTAAGGAAATATTCCTGTTTCATCTGCAAAGTTTATCCATTAATATGTTGGACAACCTGTACATAATATTCAACGTATAAACAAAACAAAACACATATAGTTATATGGAAAACATCAGACGTCACGAGAATACCTTTTTATCAGAAGTTAAGTTATTTTAAAACTGAATTATCTGATCCTAGAGTCACAACTCAAATTTAGACTTGCTGGTTTTGTTTAAACTTAAAAGGTTGCGGTAATTCGTCATCTTTATTTTCCATACATATATTTTATGTATTAAAATAAAAACAAACTTGCTGTGAAATAGTTAACACAAATATTTTTATATATATTTTTTAATACTTTTTAAACAAACAAAATATCAACATTTATTTAAAAAATAATTCATTTGGTATTTAAAATATACGAATAAATAAACATAAGTATAAAATTTTAATAATAGCAATATTTAAGCCATCGTAGAATAATACACAGGAATAATACAAAAATTCGACTTCACCATTTTTTGTGATCCCTAAACTAACATTAATATGACTTTACGTCCTGAAACGCAAAATTCATAATTAAAAATTTAAAAATGCTAAAGTAGTAATGTAATAGAACTACTTTATCAAAAGTTGTGTGCCACGTTAGACTAGAATAACTTTAATGTGTTACTTCAATATACCTCTGCTACAAAAGAGCAAAAAGTGAGCTATATTTATATTTAAGGAAAAGACGCTACTTCCGTGACTCTCATCACAGCCTAAACGTTCCAATATATTTTTCACCACTATCTGAAAGTGTTACAAGGGAAGACGATTTTAATATATTTCATTTGCTCAGTTGTAGCTTGTGCATTGAAGCCTTTTGTGAGAGTACACAAATTAGAAAAAGCAGGAACGTATCGAGTATTATCGATACATTGCCGTTATCTAACAATCTTTAAGTATTACTCCATTTACTATTCAAGATTAGAGAAAGAAATGAGATGACTGCAAACAATGTTATCGATAAAATTCGACAAACCCAAATAACTGGAATCCATCGATCACGAGACAAAAGCATCAATTATCTGGTATGTTGAAAGTAACCTTTTTAGCTGAATTCTAGCCGGCAAGAGTGGCCAAATCACTGAGGAATCCCTCTGGGGTAATAATGTGTGACGACCCGATGATGACCTCCCAGTTCTTCTGGGCATTTGTAACCTCGTAAGCACATCTTACCTCCGAGAAGCACATGCCCCCCACTATAAACACGATGAGACGAGGCACATTTTTGACAGTCTGCGCCCCTTTGTCCTTGTGCCAGTGCCCGTAACGAGCACTGAAATCAAATTTATTTAATTTTACATGATATACAGGATGAGCCTTAAATGTGTACACATATTTTAGCAGCGCGAAAATTTAATTTCTTTTAAAACTACGTTAATTTATAGTCTGTAACCGAAAACAGCTAACAGTGGAAAACTAACTCTAATTGAGAAAACAAAGATGAGGATAATAGGAAAACAAGATATAACAATATTATGTTAAAATGAAGTAAAAAAATTAGAAAAATACGAATGCGCTCAAATTGACTTATAACTTTACTTTTTAAAACTTAAAAATATCTTACCTTGTTGGGGCGTGATAGGCACTAGTCTGGGCTCTGCTCGCCAAAAATGGGAAGTGCTTCTGATCCAGTTTTTCCTCAATGCAATCCTCCATGATATCCTTAATGACAGGTGTCCACCTGGACATCTGATATGTCTGTTCGGTAATCCTTTCCTTGCGGGGAACGATATATGTCTTCTTCCTAGTTCCGCCGTCGTTTATTACATTGACACCGAGCAGTTGTAGGTTAGCGATTGTTTGTTTTTCTTTGATTTGCGCGTGAGTGGCTAATTTTGAAAGATTCTCTTCTGTAATTCCGTTCTTCGTCATGGCGTATAAAGCAATGATTCGCATCTTATCGTACTCGTTCGTGATTTTAGGGTCGAGGAGAATGGGCACTATATTACGCATGTGGTCTTTGATTTTCTCGCCCTCTGCGTCTGTTCCCATCGCCAAATCCTAGAAAAAGTAAAACGTTCAAAATATAGTAAATATATAATAAGCAATCATATACCTGTTCCACTTTGCAGAGCTTATCGATGTAACCCTGATAAGCTTTCATGCAATCTTCAGCCAAATGTAAATGAGTGGCATATTTTGATAATTCCTTTTGGTACTGAGGCATTTTTTTGATCATTGTAGATAAATCTTTCATGGACTGTTTATCGCTCTGTGTCATCCTCTTGGAATCAGTGAATTTCTTCAAATTCTTCGTTACACTTTGGGACACCACAGCAATGTGTTGGTGGCGCAGCTCCACCCAAAGCTCATCGTTTTCATCTAGCAACACGTCCTTGGGCACTCCTGCTGAAGCCTCATACCTAAAACAAAACAAAATTATAAAAAAATATATATTGGGAGAATTAATTGTATACTTACTTATATACATCATTCTCTATAGGAAGTAAATCGTAGGCCATAGCTTGAAAGGTGAGTTCATGAAGTAAAGGAGAGACACAGTCAAAACCACGGTCAAGGATCAAAAGTTGGGATCTAGCCTTTTCTGGGCCTTCACCCATTGTAGGTTCGTCAGCTTTGTAGGCATCTAATTTTTGTTGTATTAACTGTGCGAGTTCCACATTTCGATCCCAATCACTGTCAATAATATAAAGTTACGAAAAAACTGTGGTTTATTTCGAAACAAATAAAATGAACAGTTACAAACACGATTTAAGAAAATTAGTGATTAGTTATGAGAACTAGCTGTAAATCTACTCAAATGCATTGGAGAAGCTCACGAAATTGGTAGAAGGAAATTGAAATTTAAAAATTTTCAAGGAAATTTACCTTCTGTATCGAACAGACGGGTATTCTCCTAACGTTGCACAGAGAGTAGCTATCTGTTCCGCCATTCTCTCCATATTGGCATTCCTAGCAGCTGCGAAAGTAGGGTCATAACTGCATTGGAATGTATCGGGCGAATCTAAGGAGAATACCTGACGAAAAAGTGTTAATATGTTTCAAAATATGTATCGGCAGCTAGGTGGTAAAAATGAAGTGTTACTGAAAAAACATGCAGTTAGTGTAATACAAACGTTAGAAATGCACTACAAAATGTGAAAATATTCTAAAGACAACCATAAAGCACATTTTCAATATATACAGGGTGTCCCGAGATAATGGACCAAAATTCATAGGTAGATTCCTGAAGCAAAAATATTGCATTTTAGCTGAACTTACCTTAGTCCAAAAGTTGATAGTTAAAGAGATACAGGGTGTTAAATGTAAAATATTATTTTAGTTTATTTCCATTTATTTCTTAATAAATGCAAATATCCACACAAAATTTTGGGATTTGGGGTTCTTTGGGTAGAGGAATTGAAATTTGTTCACATTTTGGGTATAGTTCACAGAGGGTGCTAGCTGCTATAGATTGAATGTGTTGAAAACGACATAACTTTGTTGTACTCTAAGGTATCTCATCTTTGATATCAAATTCTTATTTTCCAACTTTTTTTGCACAAATAAGGCATACTTTATGAAAGTAGCTGTCTCGCACCGTTTCCGAGATATTTGGCTTTGAAACTTCCAATGCTAAGAGTTGAAATAATTAAAATAATTTAGAAATGTTAAAAACACATTTACAATTAAAAATTGTAATCAACAGTAAAATAGTACCTAAACATTATTAAAAATATGCCTTTTTGACAATAATTGCTCAGTGTCCAGCTCTAATTTCTCAATACATTTTTCAACACATTTATTTATTAAAAGATTGTCTTATTTAAAGTATAAATCCTTAATGCGAAATGACTTTGCAGCATTTAAAACATGTTGCCAAAGTTCTTCTCAGGTGTTTATAATTTCTCCATAAACAACTGATTTGATGTAACCCCAAAAAAGGAAGTGTCGGCATTCTATCTCACATTTATGTATACAATTTAAATTGTAAGTTACGACGTAATTTTAATTAGGTACAAATAAGATGATAAGAAAGTAGCATACAAATGACAGCAATGAGACAAGTGGAAAACATCAATTATTTGATTTTCATCCAAATCCTACTTAAGAAATTTTACCGCTAAATTAATAATACCTGTAGATATTTAATTGTAATTTAATGCAACAGCATTGGAAGTTTCAAAGCCAAATATCTAGAAAACGGTGTGAGACAGCTACTTTCATAAAGTATACCTTTTTTGTGTAAAAAAAGTTGGAAAATAAGAATTTGATACCAAAGACTTTTAACACATTCAATCTACTGCAGCTAACGCCCTCTATGAACTTTAACCAAAATGTGAACAAATTTCAATTCCTCTACCTAAATAATCCCAAACCCCAAAATTTTGTGTGGATATTTGCATTCGTTAAGAAATAAATGAAAAAAAAAACTGAAATAATATTTTACATTTAACACCTTGTATCTCTTTAACTACAAATTTTCGGACAAAGGTAAGTTCGACTAAATCGCAATATTTTTGCTTGGAGAATCTACCCATGATTTTTTGGCCCATTACCTCGGGACCACCCTGTATTTAACGGATGTATTTTTTCTTTAACGCTAACCGAATTTCCAAAATAGAAGGCAGTAGTCTCATAAATAAATTAAACCACAGTAATTACAACTTCTTAATCAGAGAAAATAATTTTGTGTACTCTACGCACGGAAGTTGTAAAGTACTGTTCATTAGTGTACCTATATCGTTGTTCTGTTCGCACAAGTGCCAATTTCTATTGTCGCTTATCATGTACGAAAAAATGAGCTGAATGCATCAGTTTCCAGCTTAGACGTTTCATTTCATGTCATATGTGTAGAAATTTTTATACTTACTACTTATATTATACTTACTAAGCATGTAACAAACTCTTGTTACCTAAACTTAGATCGAAAAAGCATGTTAAAAAAAATAATCAAATGGTGAAGAGACGTTTGGGAAGATTATAATATCAACAACATTGCGGATGTAGTTTTGGAGAGATTTTCCTTGGGATTAAAGACACCCTCTGGGAAAGGACAGTGATTAAAACTTACACATATCAAAATAGACGATGAGCGATTGAAAAATCCTTTGTATCTATATTGCCTCGCATCAAACCTGGTGTAGTGATCATCAAGAATATTGCATTTCGACTAATAGAGAAATTGCCAACATCTGTGAGCTGAACCCCATTGAACTAAAGTGACTTTAGGTGACAACAGTCCTAGTGTTAGTGACAGTGATAGCGACAACAGTAATTAATGATTTTGCTAAAGCATACAACACTCATTTCTAGTGTCTTATCGGTGGTAGTAGTTTTAGTGGTTTTACTAACATAATCTTAACCAAAATCGGCATAACTGTTTGTTGTTCTATATAATTCTTCTAAAATGATTTGCCTAAAGAGTCGCGTTTCCCACGTGTCTTATCCGTCGCAAAGATCTATATGTTGAGAATGAGTCACTGCCTACAATTTTGGATGATAAATGCGAGTTTAAATATAGTGATAATATATATTCAATAGGAGCTTTGAAATGATAAAAATAAATCTAGATAAAAGTTATGCATGATTATGATCGATAAACTGGAGTATGCAACCTGTCAACAACTAATTTTAAACATACATTAAAGCCGACAGAAAAAAGAAAATAGTAACGGATTCAATGTTAAAGGTAAGTAAAAGGATAGCTATACAATAAAGCAAACATAAAAAGCACACACCACACACCTGTGACTCGTATGGCAAGAAAGCGATGTTGATCTCCTTCAAAGTTTTAATTTTTCTTGCCGCACATGACTTGCATAACTCATTGAAGAGTTCCTCAGGACAGACTGTCACAAATATTCATAATAGTTACAGTTATAAGTATAAATAAATGAAATATAAATATAATAAGCAAATAAATAGGTATATTAAAAATTAAACATCAACAAAATCTTTACATTGTTACATAAGATTCATGGAAAAAATATTTATTTGTCTTAAAAGAAAACTTATAGAGCTAAGTTCCTAATAACGACTCAGAAATCTAAATATACTGCCTATGCCAATTTAGATATAACTGTTTCAAACAAAATATATAAGAAATTTATACAAAATTTGTGTATATCTAATTAAAATAGAACAGTCTACCTCATAGTTGCTTTTATGTGCATGATGTAAATATAACATTAAAAATTTTTATTACTGTATGACAAATACAAATAGCAATTATTGCAAAGTTCACCAAATAATGTCACAGTCCATGAAGCATAAAATAAGGGTATTCCTAATTTCTCTTTGTATTTTACAATTCCTTTGTATTTACTTATTGATTTACTTGCAACTTCACTGCGACCTAGATATAATGTCAGACAGAAGGGAACCACTGGGTTAAAATGAATGCAATCAATAATTAATATTAAGTGATCTCTATAGGCAATATGGGTTAAGTACTTGATTTCGGTTACTGAATTATTAATTTACAATGTTTGGTGTGTAACAAAGGAAAGCTGACAATCACCACAAATTAGATGGTTAGTACGTACACATCACAAGCGTTTTTATTTGGATTGTAAACGAGAAATGTAAAGCTTTTCAGTACCTGAGATTCGGTGGGAACAAAGGCTATGTTGATTTCTTTTAAGGTTTTAATGAATTTCGCTATGGGATGGTTTGCTAAGTCATTAAACAATTGGTCTGGGCATGCTGCGGAAAATCGACAGAAAAATATAAAATTTCAAAATAATAATATCATTAAATAGTTTAAATGTACATAAAAATAAGATTTAAAACAAAAACATATTTCTTTCTCTAGGATTTACACATTAAAAAAATCATTTATACATAATTTTACTACATTATAACAAGTCTACAGGGAACAATTATGTAACTATAGTACTTGAAAATCTTACCTTCTGTGAAGAAAACATGTGCTGCTTTGTACATGCATTTGGGAGTTTCAAAATCGTTCATGAGAGCATGTACCGACTTTTCCGATGGTGTAATCAGGTAAACAGCTTCCATTGTGGTTAGAGGTTCTCTTCTCTTGTTAATATCTTCAACCACTGCACAATAAAGTAAATTCAAAGAAAGTAAATTAATACTGATTCATTCAGGAAAATATGTAGTGCAAATTTAAAAAAAAATACCTACGTGTAATACCCTCCGCTGATATATCATGCATTTTGCAACAGGCAGAGACCATCCTCATGGCCAACTGATCCACCACCAAAATTCTCCATTCTACGGCATGTGCCGGACCATTCTTTTTAGGTGGCTTGTACTTGATAACTTCGTTCATAATTTCTGGGGAAAGGATTTGTATACAAAATAGCAAATTATTAGACGTTAACACATAAAAGATACACAAACAGTAAAACAAGTGTATGCAAACATACTGCAAATAGTTGATGAAAATAACGAGTATCGTTCCACTAACGTGAAGTTTTTACCTGACAAATTTAATTGGTCTCTAATATATGCATATATATGTATGTTACTGGAAAGCACTAAATTTGGTACTTGATGAACCAAATCCACAGATAGGTAATAATAACAATAATATTAAAATGTCTGTTGTATAAAGAAAAATTACAATACTTAGATCAAATTCTTACAGATTAGATCTGCAGATCTTATCTAATAGTGTGTGGTCAGTTATTAAAATGTAAATTTCACTTTATCAATATTTCCTTTCACAGAACGGATTTCAGTTTAACAGCATAATTATTTGATTTTATCGAGTTATTTATTATTTATTGTTTTAATATCAAGTAAATAAAAATATGTCAAATTTGAGAACGGTAAAATATAAATAATTATAGTTCAACAATTAAAAAATAGAGAAAAAATTAAATAATAGTATATTGATAATGATAATACGCCTCCAGGATAATATTGACATTTGTGACGTCAGATAAACTCCCTAATGTAATATCTCATAAAATGAATCGATGATTTAAAGAAATATTGTGTAACTAAAGCTGTGCGTATAATACAAATGCAATTTGTAACTAAATATTTACAAGTACATCATTTTAAAATGAAGTATTAAAAGGTGAAGTTATCAAAGGCGTCATCTTCCACTACAATAAAGTAATATTCAGGAAAACTTACTCTGACCGACTTGGGTCTTTAGAGCCATTTTAATTAATTATTGCACAACCAATTACAGAGCACTTAGTTTTAATTTTAACAACGTAAATTTTCTGGATTAAAAAATTAGATGGTAGAACACCACTTTCACCGTAAACAACAAAACCAACTTTTAGACCACGAACCACACAGACGCCTTCTATGAGTCACTTGTTAAAGCTTTGACACCCACGAGAACGAATTAAATTTTGTAGTACTGTCAATTCTTATTCAAATTTCATTTATTCAAATAGTCTTTAGAAAATAATAAAGAAGATTCAAGTAACACTACTTTCGATTTATGTTAAGATGTTAAGAATAATTGAATGACAAATGATTTTTTATTTGTATTTGTATTGCTATCGCTGTCAAAGTTCTTTTATGACAATTATAAAATGTGGTATGGTATGTATGAACTAACTTGAAACGTGGAAAAAAATAATGTAATTATTCAATAAGAACTAAAGTAAATAAAATGAGACTACCAGTTACTCCAAGAGTATTTTGAATTTATATTGTTATCTGTTTGATAGTTATATCTTATGATAGGATATCTGTTTGTCGTCTACCTACTGCTGAATAAACCATGAACAGTGTGGATGTTAAAAGTGAACCAGTTAGTGATCAAGGTGACGACAAAGCGTTTATAAATACATTATTAGGTGAAATGAAAAGCCAGTTTAATAGGGCCGAACTTAAAGTTGATTGTAGTATAAAGACTGAAGAAGATATGATGAATGATATGTCTTTAAAATCTAGTCCCGTTAATGAAGTACAATTAGGAACGACTGAGTCTGACTTAAGTACAAATGAGAGTGAATATAAAGAGTCCCCTAAAACTGACGGACTTCCTCAAGTTGACGACTCATCTAATGAAGAAGATCTGGATGGCAAACCTCGAATTGTTTTATTGTTCAAGAAACCGAGTGATGAAACTAGTCCTACTAAAAATAAAGACATTACGCCAGGTAGAAGATCTCTGCGAAATAAGCACAGTTCTGTAGATGAAGCGGTGGATGAGAGTATTCCGAAACGTTCATCTAGACGTAGAAGTAAAGACTGTAGTGAGTCTATTTTACAGAGTGCAATAGCTAGAAAGGAAAAGTCTTACAATGAAGCAAATAAACCACAGAGATTGACGAGACAACTTAAACCAACGCCAAAGATACTAGAAAATCTAGCATTAGCAAAACAAGAAAAAACTAAACTTAAGTCTCCTAAAAGTATCGATAAAAATAATCAATATGATAGTGATAATGAACTGCAAAATTGTGAAAATGGACTATCTGGAACACCAAAGAAAACTAAAAAGAATGCAAAGTACTCCAAGAAAAATGCTAAGAGATTGAAAATCAGTCATAATGTAGAAAGTGAAAAAGAATCTGATTCAGATCCAAGCTTATCCCCTGATCAGGAATCTAGCTCAGACGTTAGAAAAATTGCAAGAAGATCTCAGCGTTTATCTTTGAGGTGAACATCATTTTAATTTTTTTTTTTTTCATATTCTGTTTGAAATAATTTTATCTATTTTGTTTGCCTAATCATGCAAGACCTTGACTGTGTTTTGTATTCATAGCAAGATCTGTTGACTTACATTAAGTAATCATAAAACAATAAATAATAAAAGTATTATTTGCAGTAGGAATAAAGAGGAATTTGATGAACCTTCTGGTCCAAGTCCAAATATAGCCGACCAGGCTAAAGACTTCCCAGATGATCCAGAATGTTCCTCTGTAGGGGCACAACTGATAGCTTCACGTCTATGTTTATGCACACAGAAAACTACGCTGTTTGCTGATGCTAATGAAAATGGTAATATACCTACTAAAATGAAGAATTATCCATTAACTACTTATTTGCAGATACCATATTTTGCACTGCTGTTGACAGCATTGGCGAAAAACTAATAGGATGCAGCAGAGAAGTCGATTTTAAAGAAACACCTCTGCTGAGACCTTCACAACGTGTACCTTACCTGGTTCTTTGTGACTTGCACAGAAATAGATTGCTCAGGCATAATTGTTGCCCTACTTGTGGAATATTTTGTACCCAGGTATTTTTACATTCATAATTTTTCAAAGAAATGCATCTAATGGAAACCTCTTAATTGAAAACAATGTCAGTTTCTTTTGGTTGACAGTTGTTACTAATTTCAGGGAAAATTTGTTGAGTGTGACGCCAAACACCAGTACCACCGAAGTTGTCAAATTTCGGTGGGTAGTATGGAGTGTTGCCCACATTGCGGTCTTTCCACACCAAGTCACGACATTGTCATTACCATGCAATGTTCAAAAAAACCCATATTTCTACCAGTACAAAAAAATAATTAGTAAGTACCTATTTATTGTGTGTCCTTGCAACTGTGTGTTTCAAAAATTAATAAGTCCTCTATATATTTTCATCTGAAATCAGTCTTCATTTTAGAGTATCATTTTCGCTTTAATTTGGTCACGTTACAAGCAAGCAAGAAATTATAGCCTCATTTATTGTTTTTGTGTAAATTGGTTTGATCAGTTGTTTTTATTTTTTCCGATATCATTTATTAGTAGTAGTGGACATGGCAGGCAGTCGGTGGTTGACAAATTTTTAGATAAAATGGGACTATGCATTGTCGTGAATTGTAAAATATATACATACATTTTTTTTTTAATTAAGGAAAACGGTTTAAATTTTTTATAGCTTCACTGGAAACAGAAAAATACTAAACAACTGATTTTGCCAATTTTAGAGTTAAGGCTGTTACTGTGACTGCTAAAATTTAATGTTAATTTTATAGATTTCGTCCAGTAATATCCCTAATTCGTGGGAAAATGTCGCTTTTCTTGTATTCGTCATTCGTTTAATTTATTCCATGGTTATAAGTTTTTGTTGAAATTTATTCTTTCCAGATCACCAAACCTCTTTGACGGGTATATTTTGAAACACTCGGTATTTTATATTTGAAATATATTCCGTAATTATGTGTTACTTGGCATTTAAAATTTTAGCTCGTCTGCTAAAATGAGTTTTCCGATTATTAAAGAAAGTTCCACTTGTGCCACCCCATCGCTACTTCCTATCGAAAATTTCCAAATTTCCAATGCGTATGAATTGAACGGGGAGATCTTCTCTGAACACGATCTCATGGAAGCTTTAAAAGAAGGTGACATCGACAGATTAGTGTCCATAATAGGTAGGGGGAAAAAATATACTAGGTTTCCTGCATAACGTGGTTTATAATTGCAGCTTCAGATACAGTCGATCTTCATTTAAAAATCTTAGATTTCAACAATGGTAACCTGTTACATTATGCCGCCCATCAAGGGCTTCTCGCGGTCTGTCACCTGCTTGTCACTGCCAGTGTCGAAATGGACGATTTTGACAAGGAACAAAATACTCCTTTGATGTTGGCGATAACCTCTAACAAAAACGATGTTGTGCAATATTTAATTAAAGCCGGGGCTAGTATTACTATAAAGGTAGTTTAATTGAAGTAATTATACTAAATTGAAGTTTTATTGTGCGCCTTGGACTTGTATGCAATTTGAGTAAATATTTTTTTAGGGTACGGACGGTATGACAGCTCTCCACATTGCAGCGAAATGCGGCAATCTCACGGCGTGTCAAATTTTGCTTCAAGCCGCTGCTACGATTAACAATTTTGTGAATAGCCAAGACGACGGAGGCTGGACCCCCTTAGTTTGGGCATGCGAGCACGGTTACATAGACGTGGCCAATTATCTTATCGTTAAAGGTGCAGATCCTTGTCTTAGAGATGTAGAACACAATGAAGCTTTGCATTGGGCCGCGTTTAGTGGCAGCTCGAATATAGTTGAACTGCTGTTAAATAGGGGGTGCGACGTTAATACAGTCAATGCTCATGGCGAATCTCCTTTGTAAGTATCTGAAATTTTGTTAATAACTTTAATTCTTTTGGCCTTAAAAAGTTTCTTCAAATTGGAGTGACAATATATATCATCAATAATATTATGGGAAAATTTTGTATTAGTTGGTTTTTAAACAACTTGATTTTGCCCATTATTTTTGTATAGAAAAATTACGAAACTGTGTACATAAAAGCAACACAAAATTTAGAAAAAAGGGAGGAATGTATTTTATCCCCAGCAATTTTCAGCCTCTTATATGCCAGATTCTAAATTGTTTTAAGACTGATTTTATTGTGTTGAAGTGGATCACGCTATCTATGTGCGGTCAACGGAACTACAAAGTGGGAAGCTTTCCTAATAACCGAACAAAATTTCATCAGTATACATGTATCTACCACGAAGTTATAACGTTTTGTGTGAAGCTAGTTTGTGTAAGCAGGAATAAAAACACACACGGAACAGCATTTAGCAATGCAGTTCTGTTTTAAAGCCTGTAGAACAGCCGAACGAAGGAAAACATCATAGCTATACGCTCCAAATTGTGTACGATTGATTGACGATCGGATTTCAGCACAAAGCGCACAGCTTCGATATTTTCATCCGTTAGGCTTGTGCGGGGATGTCACATCCTCTTGTTCTCATGCATGTCTCGGCCATCACAAAATCTCCCGAACCACATTAACACAGTCCGACGTGATGTACAGTCCTCCTGAATTTTAACAGTTGATATGTTTCAGTGGCTGTTTTACTGGCTTTAGAACATAATTTGATTGCTGTACGCTGTTCAATGTGCATTCCCATGACAACTATCAAAAACTCACTTCACTCAAAACGTTATAACTCCACCGTAAATATACGTATACTGATGAAATTTCGGAAAGCTTCCCACTGTGTAGTTCTGTTAACCGCACATAGATAGCGCCACGCACTTCGCCACGATAAAATCAGTCCTAAAACTTAATAACCGAACCGTGTATACAAACTTCTATTCGCGAGAGCAACGAAGGGGATTATTATATTAATTTCAAATCAGTGTAATAGGGAGGCTCCGGGTTTGGTCATTCTGGAAAATTGATTACTGGGAAATTGTTCCATAAGGCACGTATTTTATCGACGTTATTTTTAGACATATCGCTGCCAGAGAAGACCGATATAATTGCGTGATAGTTCTCCTGGCAAGAGGTGCTAACGTGTCATTAGTTAATAAAAATAACGAGACCCCATTAGAGTGTTTACCTGAAGACGGAGAAAGTTATAACGTGATAGCCCTAAATCTTAAACTGCAAGCAGTCGCAGGTACCGATTTCAAAAACTACAGAACCCTGCTCTCGAAGTAAGTTTGCCAACGTGTTTATTTAATTTATGTAATTAATTTTCGTTTGCTAGTGACATATCACGAGGAAGAGAAGTTAATCCTATACAATGCGTGAATGCCGTGGACGATGAACCGGAGCCGAGAGATTACGTTTACATTACAAGGAATTGCAGAACTACCGATAATTTTAACATCGACACAAAAATAAACACCCTTCACACATGCAGTTGTAGTGAACGCTGTGTTACGGAAGAGTGCGATTGCACCAAGTTATCCATGAAATGTTGGTATGACGAGGAGGGGAAACTCACTTCTGATTTCAGTTTCGCAGGTAAAGTTAATTTTGATACCCTGAAAATTGGACATTTTATTAAATGTTGCCATTCACTCGTTTTTGTAGATCCTCCTCTCATTTTCGAATGTAACGAAGCATGTTCATGCAACGCTATTACCTGTCGGAACCGAGTGGTGCAGAAAGGCTTACAGCAACGGTTTCAACTGTACAAGACTGATACAAAAGGCTGGGGCGTGAAAACACTGAGGTTCATTCCTAGAGGTAGTTACGTGTGTGAATATGTTGGAGAAATGCTAACTGACGTTACGGCAGACCAGAGGGAAGATGACAGTTATTTGTTCGACCTGGACAATAGAGTAAGTATATTACTACCTATCTCGTAAATTTCAACGTTTCGCGTGGGATGTCTTATAATATTCATTTATATGTTTAGAAGGCTAAAACAACAAATGATACATATTGTGATCTGTCTAATGCAACCTACGAGGCATACAAGGCACAAAGAGTACTCAATTTTTTAAAAATCGAAATGGCAGTATATTTATGAAAATGTTTACTTATTTTTTTTTTTAATATTGAAAAACTGGTATACTACAGGTTAGAGATGAAAATGAGTGTTATTTTAAAACGAAAATTTTAACTACTCAAAGACCTTTACAAAATAGATAATATACAGTGTGTAACTTTATGTGTGGATCAATTCTTTTAAGTATAATACGAGGGTGGTCTGAAAAGTTTCCGACCTCAACATGAAGATGGCAGCACTCGTAAATAAAAGCTAGTGAATTTCGTTGTTCATCTGTTGACAGTTACTCACCAAAGTTTCAGTCATTTTGGACGCGCAGTTGTATTGCAACAGTCATATGAGTGAGTTAATGTGAGTGTTTTTATAAAAGTGGACAAAATTGAGTATCGAGCTGTCATTAAATATTTGTTTTTGAAAGGCAATACGCCTACGCAAATCAAAGATGAGTTGGATTCTGTGTATGGGGACTCTGCACCATCATTTACCACAGTGAAATTTTAGGCAGCTGAATTTAAACGTGGCCGTAAGAGCTTGGGAAATGATGAACGTTCGGGACGTTCAAAAACTGCAACTACCGACGAAAACATCGCCAAAGTTCACCAAATGGTGCTAGACGACCGCCGAATTAAAGTGAGAGAGATAGCAGAGGTTATGAACATGTCAAAATAACGTGTTTGTCACATATTAAATCAACATTTAAACATGAGAAAGCTGTCTGCGCGTTGGGTGCCGCGTTTGCTCACGTTAGACCAAAACTCTGCTGGCACAGTTTAGGCGCAATAAATCCGAGTTTTGGCGCCAATTAATTACTGTAGATGAAACTTGGATACACCATTATACGCCCGAAACAAAATTACAGTCCAAACAGTGGACTGCAAAGAGGGAACCGGCTCCAAAAAAAGCAAAAACTGTTTTTTCGGCTGGGAAAGTGATGTTTTTTGGGATAGTCATGAAGTTATTTTAATCGTTTATCTTCAAAAAGGAAAAACCATTACAGGAGCATTCTACGCATCATTACTTGACAAGTTGAAGGCAGAACTTGCGGAAAAACGGCCACATTTGCAGAAAAAAAATCCTGTTTCACCAAGACGACGCACCGTCTCACACCTCAGCGGTTGCCATGACGAAAATCTACGAATTACAGTTTGAACTGCATGACCATCCGCCTTACTCACCAGATCTAGCCCCAAGCGACTTCTTTTTATTCCCTCATCTAAAAATTGCGCTTGGAGGACAGAGATTTTCGTCAAATGAAGAGGCAATCACCTTCGTGAACAATTATTTTGCAGAGAAAAACGCCGAGTACTATTTTGACGGGTTACAGAGATGGGAGCATCGCTGGGAGAAGTGTGTAGAGTTACAAGGAGACTATGATGAAAAATAAAAAAAAGAATTCTGAAAAAATGTCTTGTATCTTTGTTAGGTCGGAAACTTTTCAGACCACCCTCGTAGTAGGCTATTGAATACAGGATTTTAAAAAGAACTATGGCATTCAAGATATTTTATTACATGAATCATTCAAATGGTCATTGTAGATTAAAAAACCGCGGAGTGCTATTAAATTAGGGGGTGGAGATAGGGGTGAAAATGCACCCCTTTCAGTTTTTTAATTGTAGCTCGAAAACGAAGAAAAATTTCGCTGTAGTTCATAGGAAAAATTATTTAGAGAATTGAATTTCCCATCGAAATAGCTTATTTAAAAAAATTAAAGGGAACATTTTATGCAAAAAAATTGTTAATAAACAATTTGAAAAAAAAACAAAAAATTTTTTTTCATAATCAGTTAATGCATAGATTAGAGGTACCTAGGAATCTTAATTTTAATATGGTTGCCGTGACAGGTTTTTGTTTGCAAATATGGTGTCTAAAAACAAAAGCTTGTCATAGCAACCATATTAAAATGAAGATTCCTAGGCACCTCTGATCTATGCATTGACGGATTATATCGTTTTCCGTTTATGCATCGTTCAGATGACATTTTTACATTAAACATTTAATATCTCAAAAACTCNGTCAACTGAGAGTAAACATATCCAAAATTTAAAAACTTTTATATTATCATTTTCTTGTGCAATTATATCAAAATCGTAAAAGTGGGATGTATTGGAGCATTCTACGCATCATTACTTGACAAGCTGAAGGCAGAACTTGCGGAAAAACGGCCACATTTGCAGAAAAAGAAAATCCTGTTTCATCAAGACAACGCACCGTCTCACACCTCAGCGGTTGCCATGCCGAAAATCCACGAATTACAGTTTGAACTGCTTGACCATCCGCCTTACCAGATCTAGCCCCAAGTGACTTCTTTTTGTCTGCCTATCACATAAAACTTCATCTTTTGAGAAATCAAATATATAATTTTATTATTTCTTTCACATACGGGTATGTAGAAGGTACAAGGCACACTGCTCGTTTATCAAGCAACAGTTTTCATAATACGTCAGCCCAACACTACACCATTAATTGTGTCTAACCTCAAATTTTTAACCAGTTGCCGAAATAACATGAAGTATTAAATACCTAAGAATTATTCACAACAATTATATGGAATTGTTTAAAATCGTTTTACAATATGATGATGATATGATAACAATTAAATTAAACTAACAACAACATGTGCTGACTTCTGTCACTTACAATCTAAACCACTGACAGTAACGTCATCGGGCGATGACACATCAGATGTTAGGTCCCACAGATGGTAATAGATGTCTTGCCTGTGAAATTTTGAAAATAAGGCAACATCAGTAGCATCTTTAATACTGTTTTAGAGCGAAAACGTTTCTTATTTTCAGGATAGCGAGTCTTTCTGTATAGACGCCAAATATTACGGTAACTTTTCAAGATTCATAAACCACTGCTGTAGTCCGAATCTGCACCCCGTTAAGGTATTCATCGATCATCAGGATCTGCACTTTCCTCGAATCGCTTTTTTTGCCAAACGAGACATCCCAGCTGAGGAAGAATTGAGGTAAGCCTTCGGTTAAAGTTTGAGTGGTGACGGCAGTACAGTTTTTGTTTTTAGTTTTGATTATGGGCATAAGTTCTGGCTGGTTAAGTACAAGTCCTTTACCTGTGAGTGCGGCATACCCGAGTGCAAATATTCCGATGAAGCAATCCAGCAAACATTAACTAGTTGCAAACAAATGGTGACAGATCGTAATGTCTAAGATCTTTACACTACGGTGGGTTGACGTTTTAGGTTTCCAAATGATCATTTAAGAGGAAACAAAAGATGTAAGGTGTTGAATAATGTTTAATATTTACTTGCCTTGTATAGTTGAGAATTTGTTTGACATTTTTCATTCGGTATTGATTTGACGCAAACAAATACTGGAAGATGCCCTTTATGTCGTAAAAGGCCTGGAAATGACTGGGGCCGGTTCTGTTTAAAATTTACTATTAATTTTTAATACTGTCGTAAACATTTCTACTTATTTTTTCATTTCTTCGTACATGATTTTTTCTTGGAAATCGGAAACATTTTCGCCATAAAAGAGCTATAAGTTTCTCATTTAATTTTTGTACGCTACTTGACGATGTAAGCACGACAATATTTTGTGATAAATCTGTCATTTTTATAAATTTTATTGTCAACTGAGAGTAAACATATCCAAAATTTAAAAACTTTTATATTATCATTTTCTTGTGCAATTATATCAAAATCGTAAAAGTGGGATGTATTGGTAGTTCTATATATCATTTTCAACGAAGATCTTGTAGTTCAGGATACAGGGTGATCCAAAATAATATACCTTATATATATAAGAGTAGGTATAATCGAAATGTTTGGCCAAACTTCAGTGGTGGATTTTACATCACGAGTTAATCAAAAAGTTCTTATACATATGTCTAAAAACGTTTTGTTTTTTTGAGATACAGTGTTTAAAATATGAGGATATGAAAAGATATTTTTTTTTAAATTGCAAAAAACGGTCGAGGAAACCATTTAAATGGTAGGTACTTTATTTTATTCACATGTAACATGACGATTATATTTTTTTCAAAATTTTATTTTTTGACAACAATTACATACAAGAATATACATTTTAATCCTGACCCCTTTCCATTTGGCTGAAACTTTTTTATTATTTTCTACCCCATTGAAAACCTGAGAATTTTTTAGTTTTTTTCACCCAACTCAAAAAAAGAAAGATGAATTTTTGAAAAAAATAGTTTTTTTTCAAAATTTTTGTTTTTAAATGTACTTTTGAAAAAAAATGGATCAAAATTATTTGGACCTATCTTCAGTTTTTTTTCAATTTTTGAAAAATAACGAAAATTTCTCGATGATTACTATTTTTGAAAATTTTTTTTTCTTATAAAAAACTGACATTTTTTATAAATCCTTAAATTTTTTCAGATTGGTGTTTTTTTTGTTTTCTATTTATTTTATTGATTGAGAAAAACATTTTTTCAAATTTAGCTTATTTCACATAACACCATTTTGAAAATTTTTGAAAATGTATATAGAATCCCAAAACTGAAAAAATTTATTCTATGCTGTGATTGATGACAATTTCAAAAATCATGAGGATGGTTTCAAAATGACTTATTTGAGTTCAAATGTGTTGCATCTCTTTTTAAAGCTCACTATTCGTCCAAAAATGGATGAAATAACAACTTTTTTTTCAATTTCTTTGTTTTTGGATGTAGTTTTTGAAAAAAAATCCAAAAAAATTATTCAAAACGATTTATTTTTTTCTTAACTTCCAAAAGTCGAAATTTTTTCATGTTTACCACTTTCAATTATTTCTTCCATATTTTCTTTCAATTTTGGGATTCTATATACATTTAAAAAAAAATTTAAAATGGTGAAATAAACTAAATTTGAAAAAAAAATTTTTTTCTAATAAAAAAAAAATAGAAAACGAAAAAACCACTGAAAAAATTTGAGGATTTCCAAAAAATTTTATGATTTTTTATAAGAAAAAAAAAATGTTCAGCAATGGTAATCCGAGAAATTTTCATTTTTTTTCGAAGATTGAAAAAAAAACAATGAAGATAGGTCCAGATAATTTTGATGTATTTTTTTTCAAAAGTACATTTAAAATCAAAAATTTTGAAAAAAAAACATCGCCATAACTCAATTTTTGAAAAAGTTATGGTTATTTAAAAAAGGAGTTATTTTATTTTAAATTCATAACTTTTTTTGAGTTGGGTGAAAAAATTTGAAAAAATTCTCAGAGGTAGAAAACAATAAAAAAGTTTCTGCCAAATCGAAAGGGGTCGGGTTAAAAGTGGTCGATTTGGTGTGGAATGCCCCATATGTATATGAAGACCACAGATCTCAGCCACAAAATTTAGATTTCGAGGAAAATTAAAGTTGAATACCTTAAATATTGAAAGAAAAACAAGTTTTTATTGGATATGTATTTGTTATTATACGAGGCATATCCACAAAGAGTACTCAATTTTTTTTAAATCGAAACAGTATATTTATGAAAATTTTCATATTCAGGAAGGTACATTATTTTTCGACATAGTCGCCTTCAATCTCAATGCACTTTGTGAGTCGAGGGATGAACTTTCTGTCCCACCTCGCACACAATTTTCGATACCCAAGTGTTTCAGTCATGATTTCATGCAGAAGATATCTGGAGATTTGTGGAAAACTGCGTTCATCTCCATAATCGATCGCCATGAAGCATTTCTTTAATCTTGCACCATCTTATCAATCACGATTGAGGGACGCCTACTCCTTTGTTCATCATAAACATTTGTTCTCAGTTTTATACTCACGACACCACTTGTTCACATTAGTACGATTCATCATACCATACTCATAAACAGTTTTGATTTCCTTAAAAATCTGGAATGGCGCCTTTCCCTTTGCAAGAAGCCTCGCAGCTGGTGGGATTCGGAAGAGCGGCACTTATTTCAACACACCACTACAACGACAGTTCTCAACTGACAGACAAATGAGCACGCCTTCTGCTCCCAACACCTTGGCCATGAATGTAGTGTTGCCAACTTTGTTGAAAACAAAAGCCATCAGTCTCAGTATTCTTATTTTGTGGATGACTCATTTTGCCATGAAACATTTCTTAATCTTGCACCATTTTATCAGTCACGACTGAGGGACGCCTACTCCTTTGTTCATCATAAACATTTGTTCTGTCGGTTTTATACTCATGACACCACTTGTTCACATTAGTACAGTTCATCATACCATACTCGATAAACAGTTTTGATTACCTTAAAAATTTGAAATGGCACCTTTCCCTTTGCAAGAAACAGCGCAGTTGGCGGAATTCGGAATAGCGGCACTTATTTTTTCAACACGCCACTACAACAACAGTTCTCAACTGGCAGACAAATGTGCACGCCTTCTGCTCCCAACATCTTGGCCTTGAATGTAGTGTTGCCAGTTTTGTCGAAAACAAAAACCATTAGTCTCGGTACTCTTATTTTCTGGATGACTCGTTTATATATTTTTTAACTTCAAAATTTCATATTTCGCTTTTCTAAACACGTTTGTAACAACTTTTTTTTGTATTAATTTTTAACGTAGAATCCATTACTAGTTGGGTCAAGCATTTTAATTACACCATGTATGTCTCAACTTTTTTTCTTGTTTTCTACTCCGAAAACATGATTTTTAACAATGTAAAGCATGTAGACTGCTCTAAACCTTCCTTTTTTTTTGTATATTATTGGCTGTTGGAAAAAATATTCCCAATTTGTATTGTTCTTTCTAATTTAGTTTTCACATCTCTATCCCATTCTATCAATTCCAATCTGGACCAATCTAAAGTCGACTGATAATTTATATTTAGTAACACATAATTATGTTTAGGTATAACTTTATTTATTTAACTATGGTATTTTGTAATTGTGTGCTAAAATGTGGCACGGACGTTGTAAATTTTGTTGAATTTTTAATTGTTTTCGTATGTTATATAATAAACGATATCTATAAATCTTTCAAGTTTTATCAATGTAGGAGGGGGAGTTAGGTTTTAAAAATAACGGAAAAATTGTATATATGTTTATTAACTGTCAACAACACTTAAAATAACTGTATCGGCCAATCTATAAAAATAATATTACAAAATAATGATAGATATATTTCAATATAAATAAATTAAAAAATCACAAGTTCTATAAAAATATCATAAACTAGCCTATTTACAAAATAAAATATAAACGATAAAATATGATTGAGAGTTTATTGCTCAATCCTACCAAGTATTTTTGCCGATGACGTGTTGATCACCCCCATAAAGTAGTGCAATTTCGTGAGAAACTTTAGTAATTATTTTCGATTTATATGGCAAATATATTTCAGGAGATAACTATAAATAATTCAAGCCAACTGTTTTTGTTAAAATCTGGAATTTCAATTTGTTTTTTGTATTTCCCACAAAAGTTGATTTAGAGATAACTAAATACTACTGAGTAACCAAAATCAAATTATTCGTGTATACAGGGCGTTTCGAATTTTAACCATGAAAATTTGAGGAATAAAAATAATATCACTGTAATAATATAAACCTGTTTTCGAAACTCTGTTTTTGAGATATATATCTTCAGTGAAAAAAATGTATCTATATCTAAATAAATGGAGGCATTTGGAATTTCAAGGTTTTAAGTGCACAAATACATGAATAAAATGGCATTCATTGAAAAAATTAATTCCCGACTGAAACCAGTGGTGTAGATGCTAATTACATTTTCCTCAAGAATTGTGGTGTACCACTGGGGAAAAAAAAATTAAATAAAAATTATCACTTTTTGCATAGCTTTTATCATTTTGGTTTACTGAATCTGTAACTGTCCATACAACTTTCTCTGCTAAGAATCCTTGCTAATATTAAAATTTTGAAATTCTCGAATTCCGCTTTCAGGGCTTCAAACATCCAAAAATTATTTCCTTTCTAATATAAATACAAAATTACTAATATTATCTATCTTCCTTTTGAAAATTTATGGGTACATTAGGGTGTCCCAAAAAAAAACAAATATATTCGTGTCTCTTGTGAAAATATGATAGTTTCAGACGTTTTAAGAGCCCCCTCAAAAAATCAACTCAAAAAAAAATTTTTTAGAGGTCGCTCAAGATTTTTTAAAATTTCCAAAATTGTCAAAAATTGAATTTTTTTAAAATTCTTTATCTCGTTATTTTATCATTTTCTAGGTTGAATGGATTCTGAAAATTTCAAATCGATATTTTAATTTCTAAAGGTCACTCATAATTATTTTAACTTTAAAAGTACCTAGTGTACCTAAAATGTTTTCGAGCGACCTCTAAAAATAAATATCAGCGAACTAATAATTTTTTTTATTGAATTTGATGAACAAAAGAATAGAAATAAAAAATTTCTCGGGGCAAAATTTACCGCCGCACTGTGAGTCAAATATTTATAATTTTTAAATTTTTTTAAATTTAAGTGTTTCGTGATTTATTTCTATTCTTTTGTTCATCAAATTCAATAAAAAAAAAAATATTAGTTCGTTGATATTTATTTTGAGAGGTCGCTCGAAAATATAGGTACACTACTTTGAAAGTTAAAATTTCAGATATTTCGTAAACTAATCATGTCCTTGATTTTTTAGAGGCATAAAGGTGGTCACCTGATTACGCAACTTTGCCTCCATTTAAGCTAGTTTGTATCTCTTACCATTTTCGAGATCCCTGTAGTAAGAAGTGAATTTGTAACAGCCTGCAAGTGTCCATGAATGAATAGGAAACATTATGAAATAGTCATTTTTGTTAGAAAATTGCTAAATTATAGCAAAGTAGTAAAAACCATGTGAAAATATAAGATGATTTTAATTTAAAATAATATTTGAATTTTAAAAATGATCGACATTTTTTCTCCAACTGACATACTATAATTTTTTAGAAAAAGTGTAAGCCACTAGTTTGTGTTGAAACTTAATTTTTCATTCAAATCATATATTATGCACTTAAAATTTTATTAAAATATTTCCATTTTTTCAAGTTATTTAGAAATAGATTTTCTTTTTTTTTAACCTTAACACCCTATTTCAAAAACAGTAGAATTTTTACTTATTATATTATTTTTACTTCCTTTATTTTTGTAGTTAAGATTTGAGAGATCCCATGTAAAAAAATACCGCAAATTTTTTATTAAAAGTTGTAGCATGGTTTATTTTTAGTTGAAAATATGAATAAATTAATGGGATCGATCTAATATCGGTCAATATCGAACAGCCTTGTGGCTGACTTATTCATATAGAGGCAAGAAATTTAAAAATTCAATTATCACAACACCTAATTCCCTAAATCCTTTGTCATGGCAAGTGTTATATCTTAACATATATATCGACAAAATCACTAATATGTATATTGCACTTAAAACGCTTAAGCTTCGGAAATTTAAAAACATACTTAAAAATTAGAAAATCTATATTTGGAAGCCCAAAATGTGATTGTGGCGTGTAAATCTATGCTTAGGCTCTTATCAGTGTATTAATTTTCATTTAATTTGGAAGGTCCATATTTTTGAGTACGCGTCCAAGACAAAATCATCCCGACTTGATCCGAATTCTAGTCGAGGTACTCAAACATATGTGATATATATATGTTAACAATACTGATTAAGAAATTTTTGTCAAACCTGAAAACCGTGCAAGAAATTGCTTCATTTTCTTTTTTAAAATTGAAGTGCTCATGAGTGATGCCTAACTTTTATAAAGGCACAATCCTATTATTAAAATTCAGTATCAGTTCTATCAATAGTGATTATTTTAAGATATGCCTCTACTGATATAATTGTTTTAAACCCCTATTTCCTACGAACTTTACTAAATCAATTGACTATAAATAGGGAGATAACTAAATCCAACGTAACAACAATTTCACCTCGAAATAAGTGCGATTTAAACAATGTGTGCAAAATTAGACGTTACACTAAATTTCGCATGAAGGTGGTTGACTTTTGAGCAAGTTTATGTTACTCCTATCGAGGAAATTCATCCACTGAAACTGCACTCGTGTTTAAACTATAGGGAGATAAATGCCAAGGAATACTGTTTTAGATAAGTCAATTTGTCTTAAAACGACAATATTTAATAGTCGGTCAAGAGAGGAGCTATGGCATGATGAATATTGTACACCCACCATTAAAGATTACACAGGGTGTTACAAATAAAGTAAAAGAAGCTGTTGCGTAAGATTCATTAGGTAAAAATAATAGAACTGTCCTTTTTTTCATATTGGCACCTCTTTTTCAGGATACAGGGTGACAACATTAATTAATAAAAGTTTTTTACTTGAAATTTTGCATTTGTGTAATTTTTTTTAAAGTTGAATGCCAAATGGAGGAAAAGAGGTTATACGAGGGCTGTATGATAAGTACATGCCCTAGTATTTAAAGTGATATTTTTCGTAAATATATCCTTTCACAACGCTTACACACTGTCAAGTCGTTGTGTGGTTTAGTTTGTGAATGCCAGCCATTTAAATAGAACAACTTTTGTAATTTTACAACAGTGAAGAAAAATGAATATTGATCGTTGATAAAATACTTGTTTTTAAAAAAGAAAACAAATGATGAGGTTAAAACGGAGTTCAACGAAGTTTATAAAGATTATACACCTCCGTTATCAACCATAAAATATTGGACAACTGAATTTAAACGAGGTCGTGCAAGCATTTTTGATGAAGATCATCCAGGTTGCCCAAGTGAGGTTACCACTTCAGGAATGATTGAAAAAATCCACGATATCGTGATAAACAATCAGAGAGTGAAAGTGTGCGAGATTGCCGAGATTGTGAGCATTTCAATTGAACGGTGCAAAATATTTTTACAATTTTTTGGGTATGAAAAAGTTTTCTGCAAGGTGGATGCAGCGATTGCTCACAATTGACAACAAACACACACGTATGTCAACTTCAAAGAATGTTTGGCGATGTTAAAACGCAATCGGAATGATCTTTGGCATCGTTTCATAGCTGTTGATGAAACATGGATTCATCACAGCATGCCAGAGACCAAAGAACAGTCCAAACAGTGGGTTTTCCAAGGCAAATCTGCATGGAAGAAGATTAAGGCCACTTTATCGACAAACAAAGTGGCTACAATATTTTGGAATCTACATGGCATAATTCACGTTAACTACCTTGAAAAGGGCAAAATGAATAAAGGATAGTATTATGTCAACGTATTGGAGCGTTTGCTGTTAAAGAAAAATGTCCACGTTTGGCGAAGAAAAAGTCTTCCATCAAGACAATGCACGCATGCACACTTGCGTCGTCGCTTTGAATTAGGATACGAATTGCTTCCGCATCCACCATATTCGCCAGATTTAGCATCCAGAGATTATTTGCTATTTCCAAATAGGAAAAAATAGCTCGGTGGAAAAAACTTTGGCTCTAACGATGAGGTCATTGCTGAATTATTTTGAAGGATTGGAGCAATCGTATTTTTTAAAGGGGATATAAAAAAAATACAGAAAAACGTTGAACTAAGTGTATCGAACTGAAAGGTGATGGTCAAAAAATAAAATTTTACACATAAAAATGTTTTTTTCTTATCAAGGCCAGGTACTTATCATACAAACCTTGTAGTAGCCGAGTAATTTGTACGACTAGGAAATCTTAGGACAAAAAGAAGCAAAGAAAATAAAATAATTATTAGCAAATTTTGTGGTATCACACACTGTATCTTAAAAAAGAAGCACCTAAATGAAAAACGGCATGAGGAAAGTCCCATTATTTTTTCCTAAAGAATCGGCTTGACCTACTTTTTGGTAAAGCCCTGTACAACATTTTATAAAATATGTTGTACAATTGCTTGGATACTTATAACAAATAATTAAATTATTATTAATGTAAGTACTTTTGTCAGATACTAAATTTTAAATTTTGCACAAATTTAATAGGGCGACAATAAATCACGTAATTCAATGTCAATGACTGATTAATTACTAAAAAAATACATATAAACGCACGTTAAAGTTTCTCTCATATTTAATTTTTTGCGATTTGTATTGAATTGTTTTTTTAATGTGATGCAAGGCTTAAAATGTTTCTTCCATTTTTAATATTTCTCTTTTTTGTTTTAACTCTTTTATCAAATTTGGAGCTTCTTACATGATAAGGTAAGTTCATACACTTTTTCACAAACAACTAAAGTAATTTAAGTTTATAAAATTCTTTAATGCTATTAATTTAAATTAGATTTTAAAGAAAAATATCAAAAATTTATACTTACATAATACTGCAGTGTCTTTTTTTGTGGTCTTATTTTCTTGTGATGCCGTTTTTAAATACATAAATATAAATAATATCTTTTAAAATCACATTTTGTCCTAAAACTAAACACTAATTTAAATAAACATAAAAATCATAAACCTATCTCAAAGAATTAAATGCTATATCATACTTTGATGATGACAATCGAATCTCTCTAACGTATCTCATGAAGTAGCCTTTGATTTGTGTCCCCTACATTACCGGTTACAAAAGTCAATTCTATAAAACCGTGCATTTGAAAATTATGCATGGAAATATTATTGCATAGGACTTTCACTCAAAATTGAGCGACCACGTGAAAAGTTCCAAACATTACGAAGAAAAAAAAGGAACACTTCAAAAACACGTATACATTTTCATTCATGATGAAAGTAGGGTTTGTTTGTTGGAAAATAGGAACGATCTTTTTTATTCACTTAATCTCGTACGCCGTCAATGGATTCAAGTCCCGCAAAGTACTAGAGTTCTTAGATCTAACATACCCCCATAGTTTCATGGCTTGATCACAGTTTTCTTCAATGAACTGAACCTCGGTGTAGTTCAGGTCCATTTTCCAATGGAAAGGGGCACTTCTGGAATCCCTAAAAGTACTCGATACTCCACCGACGTTCACTCTGGTGTGCGAATCGAGGAATTGCACTACGTTCTTATGAAAATATAGGCCTAGGAAGTTGAACAGATCACGAATGTGGTCGTAGGGTTTTAGTGACAGGTCTTCGTAGCGTATCGCCCTAAAATATGCGTTGGGATTTATACAGGGTGTTGCATTTAAAACTGACCAACTTATATTTCGAAAACCAGAGATATTTCTGTAAAAACGGTGCGTTTTGTATGCAGACTTCAATTATCATTTATCAGTACAAATCAAATGGTGGTGGCAAACCAAAACAATGTTTATATGACAGGAGCTAGACCCTGAGCTACTATAATATAATCAATTTCTGAAGAATTACTAGCTAGAAAGTATTTCTTTAACAAAAATTATAACAAAATTAATTTTTAGATATACATTTCCTTATGCAGGGTGTAGTAATTTTGTGACTTTCTACGTGAAGTATTAGTTTTCATGGGAAAAAAAAAGGAATTTGTATAGTGTGTATTTGTGTTTTAAGTTTAATTGCACAATAAAGTTATTTGTTTTAGTGTTTAGTGACCGTTTAGTATGTTTGTGTGTCTTCACTGTCAACTTTCTGTGTAATATTATGAAAACTCAAGCATATGAATCAAGAAAGATTAGATTTGACAACAATGTATGGCTTAGCTCCCAAATACATATATTTACACTGAAAATTTTGATATCTCTGTTTTTCAGATATCGGGCTGGGGAGTTTGAAAGGGAACACCCTGTTTGCTATAAACTTATATCTCCAGATATGACATATCCTAGAAACATTTTTGTAATCAAGAAATGCTTTTGAATAATGTTGCAATCTGTAAGTTTCTTATAAAAAATTCAAGTTATTTCATCAAATCATACATACTTCCAAACAAACATGCACTAAAACCGCTGTATCTTTTCCATTATGTCACAACCATTATTCGTATGAACTAAAACGAAAAATCCTAGTCAAATTAGTCACTGTTTTCATTTAATTGAAATGTCATCTTGACAATTTCCAAATCTGGATATCTCTCAAATATTGTTACTGGTTGCCTATATCATTACATTTGGGTACCTATTAGAAGTAAATAAACGAAAATTATAAAAATTTCCATATGCAAAAAATTGATATTTCAATGCTCATAAAATATAAACAGTTATAGTCCACAGTACAGGCCCCCTTTGGAAAGTTGATTACCACATACTTTATAACTCCTGAGGAGCTTCGTTTTGACGAGTCTACCACACTTTTCCTCTGCGACTTTTCTCGATTCCTCCGCTTTTCCACTCGGAAAAGTCCAAAAACATGGCATTTTCCCGGGGTCTTGAAAAGTCAAGACCACATCTTTTATTTTTAGCTTAAGTAACTGTAAATTTTATTGCAAATGCCGATTTAAATTTGTCCGACAGAAATTCCTCCGACATTGATGTGTCTACCGGTCGAAACAGGCCAAAATAACAGGGTATTGAAAATCAATTACCACATAGGTAATTTTTAGTAAAATTAATAAATTAAATAATTAATTTAGTCAAAAAGTATTGTTGTCCGACAAATTTCAAGCCGCGTTTTTTCAGTCCGACAGCTCGAAATCGGAATTTTCACGGGGTATGAAAAATCGATTACCACAAATCTAATTTTCGTTTTTTCCATTTTTAAATTTACTGTACAAAATAGTGATATAAGTGTCCGACGATTTAATGTCCGCAAATTATTAAAAAATCAATAAATCAATAAACGTAATGAAATTTAATTTTTTCACTCCAAAAATTTCATATTTATAAATGGTTATTAATTATTATGATGTAAATGAAGTTATTTTTGAGGCGATTAATACGATCTTAGTGCATAATTCATTATTTCTAAATAAATTAACATTATACTTGATATAAATATCCTTTTTTCTCTTTCAAGTTTTCATTCGCGTTTGTTATTTCTCTTTACAAAAATTTTCCTGTTTTTCTAAAAGAAAATCCAAAAACTTTTGTGCGTAATTCTTTTACACCATTCATACTTTTTTGAAATCGTTTAATTCCTTTCTCGATATTTGTTTGGCTGAATTGAGCATATAGAGATTTACAATTACGAGAATAAAACGAAAAATATATACAGGGTGTTTCAGAAAGACCTCCCATAAATAAAGGGGGTGATAGTATGACAAAAAATGAGAACTTTTTGTCTTATGAACTCTATGTCTATCTCCTCTTGTTTTCGAGATACAGAGAGACAAAATAAAATTTTTTAAATAACATTTTTATGAAAATTTCCAAATGGTGCGAATTATTTTTATGACATTTGGTAGTCCGAGGTTTTTAAGGGTGCCAAATACGCTAGTCTAATTATTTTTTGTATATTTCATAGAGGGCGCTAGTTATGCTACATTCTTATTACAATTTAAGTTATATTTTTTTTTAAGGTTAGGTTTTTTACCAGTTGGGCTCCAATTTCGATTATACAATTTTATTTTTTAAAAATAATGTACTCTTGTTAGAACTTCCTAATGTAGACAGTTTTCGAGAAAAAAGGCTTTTAATTAAACTCCTACAATATTATACTATAAAATAAGTGACTTTTCTCAAAGTAAGCTTGAGCTTTGAGAAGAGGAGATAAACATATAGTTCATATGACAAAAAATTCTTATTTTTTGTCGTCCTCACCCCCTGTATTTATGGGAGGTCTTTCTGAAACACCCTGTATTGTATATTTATATGGAATTTTGCTTAANACTTTCTACGTGAAGTATTAGTTTTCATGGGAAAAAAAAAGGAATTTGTATAGTGTGTATTTGTGTTTTAAGTTTAATTGCACAATAAAGTTATTTGTTTTAGTGTTTAGTGACCGTTTAGTATGTTTGTGTGTCTTCACTGTCAACTTTCTGTGTAATATTATGAAAACTCAAGCATATGAATCAAGAAAGATTAGATTTGACAACAATGTATGGCTTAGCTCCCAAATACATATATTTACACTGAAAATTTTGATATCTCTGTTTTTCAGATATCAGGCTGTGGAGTTTGAAAGGGAACACTCTGTGTGCTATAAACTTATATCTCCAGATATGACATATCCTAGAAACATTTTTGTAATCAAGAAATGCTTTTGAATAATGTTGCAATCTGTAAGTTTCTTATAAAAAATTCAAGTTATTTCATCAAATCATACATACTTCCAAACAAACATACACTAAAACCGCTGTATCTTTTCCATTATGTCACAAGCATTATTCCTATGAACTAAAACAAAAAATCCTAGTCAAATTAGTCACTGTTTTCATTTAATTGAAATGTCATCTTGACAATTTCCAAATCTGGATATCTCTCAAATTTTGTTACTGGTTGCCTATATCATTACATTTGGGTACCTATTAGAAGTAAATAAACGAAAATTATAAAAATTTCCATATGCCAAAAATTGATATTTCAACGCTCATAAAATATAAACAGTTAGTATGGATACACGATCAAAGGATATGTCAAATGTTTCATCTGAGTGTCAGCTCTGTTTTGTTTTAACTGCAGTAGTCAAACTACAATCTAAAATTGATATACCCAACAAATGATAGATTGAGACTACCATATTGTATATCTTTTTGGCATGTCCGCAATGACTGTCTTTGATATTAGGACACAATCGTGACGTAATGGCAATCTTAAAACGGTTCTAGTATATTTATTTATTTTTTAATAAGGCCTTGTACAATTTTGAATCACAATACAGATTTTTAAAAACTTTGAGAATGCAGCAAGATGATTACAGTCACACTTTTTATCATTGTGACTGCTCGAGTGTGAAATTAAAAATGTACACTACTGTTATAGATGTGACCCTGTGTGAATACATACTGTTAACTGCATGTTTTGTGGAAATGGAACTTTAATCAATACTTCCGTTAGAAACAATATTGTGGATTTAAAATATTCATTAAATTATATAAAATCACAATTTTCTAATTCTCGTATTTTCCAGTATCAAGGATATCCTAACGGTTGAATCACAATAAAAAACAATTAATTATTGATTAACTATCAATATTTATAAATGTTTTGGTATAATCACATAGCTTTTCAATAATGGATGATCAATTTATTTTGCACATTATTAGCGATTACCTATTTTAAAATAACTGAAACCAGTAACAAGTCAGCAATACAAATCTGATAAGACTGTTGCATCTATGTACTTATCTGAGGCTAGAAATTTTTATCGATTAGAAATGAATATGTCATTTTCACACAAAAAGCAAACTGTATGTGTAGGTTACCTTTTAGCAAATTAAGATCATCTTACCGAAATCGGTCAGGATATCTTTTTTTAAGTTGGATGGCTGCACTATAGTCGGACACCATGTCAGCACACAAATTGTTCGGCTGGTCACAGTCAGGTTCTCCGGGACACCAATCTCTGTGTTTCCGAGATTGCAGAGTGCCCCTCGGATCACGCACCAACAGTACAACTTTTACATTCAGCCTAAAAAAAATGGTTTCAAAATTTTCAGTATAAAACAAACTGCGAAATTTATAAAACACTATAGTACAATATAATATCGATCAATTTAAATTTAAATGATACAATAATGCACTTTAATCACATCAATGAGGCTTATAAAAAAAGCTATTGTCATTTTAATAACTGTTGATGAGCTCATTCCGGCATAATTGCAATTGTTATTTTAAGTAAAGTAAATACTGGTTAATAAGAACCTGTAAAAAAGTTTCTAACACATTAACATGACAATGTAATCTTTAGTTCTACTGAAACTAATATAATAGATGTACACAAATAAAAAATAATGTTTCCAAACATTAATCAGTGTTGTTTTACTATTCAATTTTAATTACTCTTTATAAAAAAGCTTTTAAATCATTACTGAAGCCACGTTTAAGTAGCTTCTTACATAATTTCCCTATTAGAAAGTCACATTGCTAGTAGGTATAAAAAATACCTTACATTAAGAATTTTTTACTTTCTAATGTACATGGGTGGTCCCTTCCAGATGCTATATTTTTTAAATATGCCTTTGACTTTCACTAATAGAATAATATGAACCATTTGTTAGGATATCAGGAATTTTAAATATTTATTTCGAGTTTTTGGTTCTTGACGAGAACTTACTGTTGGGTAAATCCTAGGAAGTTAATTCATAATTTCTTTGAAATTATAAATTGTTTTAATCTAATGTTAGTATCAAATTTAAGTGGTAAGATCAGATATACACACAATAGGTACCAAGGGAGATTCTTCTTGCCTCATGGGAAATTGCATTAACAAACATAAATGATATATAAACTTGGGTGTTGTTTAAGTTAGTCTCAAATATCTCCGTTACAATGAAAATATTATAAAAAAATTGCTGTAGCAGTTTTCATTCTTTTCTTCTAATTCTAATTTTACTAAGTGTTAAATACCTAATTAACTTTAAAAGTACCTAATTAAGTAATATTTATTTTTATTTTGCCTTACATACACGATGATGCTCTGACTACGACAAAAGTGCAATATCTTTTTACAGCAATATTTTTTAAAGAAAAAAGTGTGGTCACTTACTCTTCGTCCTTCAGGAGGTCTTCCGCAAGCCACAGCCTCAGTCTTACAGTTTTCATCGACTGAAACGGAAACAGTTTGCAGAAGTCATTCAAGAACGAGGCGTTCCAACAGTACTGTTGATACATCTCGCACTGGTTCCAAAGTCTCGTATTGTGAGTAAATAAATAAACGTGGTTCATGCCATATTGCAAATATTTGTGTAAGTTTGTATAATCACAGTTAAGTAAGCTTTTAAGCGTTCTAAGGGCAGACTCAGAATGAGGAGCCCCTCTGATCTGCATAATCCCATAACCCAGCAGCGGCTCGTAGTGATAATAGTTACCCGGGACAGCATTTATGACGTCTCCCAAAAAAGTGGAACCAGACCGCCATGTCGTTATGATGACAGTCCTTACAGGTTGTCCACCCGAGATTAGTGTGTAATCTTCTAGGTTATCTCCCTCTGGAAACTTATAGTCATCTAATTCCTGAAGGATAATGTTTCGTTGCTGTGAAATCACATCTTGTATCGACGGTGTAGGTGTGGTAACATTTCCTGAGATTTTGAACGTTTCCTCTAAATCCAGTAGTTGTTGATATCTTATGGGCCTGTGGTAATTCGGAGTGTCTTTTTGACTGAAACCTATTAGGAGTAGGCATAATATCGCTACTATGGCTATACCAAATATTTCATTTTTTCGTACCATACTGGCACTCTTTTATAATCTCATAGTATCCTTGACATTTAAAACATTGTTTAAACTTGAATTCAATTGCTTTCTATGTCAACTAAAACCAGTTCCAGTTGTAGTAGTGCGGTCGTATTCTCTAAAACACTTTCTTCTATTTACACTATTTCGTTAACATGTTTCTAGTCTTTTTAACACTTAAACGGTAACTAAATACAACAATTATTTATGCTAAGACATTCTGCAGGATATTGCGGTTGTTGCTGCGGTAAGCGGAAAGATTTCTAGGTTGTTTTAGGAGAAATATTTACCCCCTCCCTTAAAATTTTGTGTATATTACCAGCAGCAAACGATTCTTCGCAAACCATTCAATTGTCCATCTCGCTTCTGCTTTTGTCGGTGTATCAGTCGACCTCTCTTGACCCAGGACCGGCCGCTAGAAATAACACAATTATACAGAAATAAAAGAGCAGGGATACTTAGTTAAATCTCGTATTTGACTGGGTAATAACAAACATTATAAAATATTGTCGATAAAATGGATTAAAGTGGTTTTTACAACAAAGATAAACCATTTAAAAATATTTTAACATCGATAAGAAATAAACATATTCAAAAAATGTGGAGATTGTATAGTTTTATTGCACACCAGAATTTTAAGTAACCGCGTTATCGCCTTACCTCTCACTGCGGTCTCTTATCTTTTCCTATAAATTATTTGTGATTATAATGATACGTTAGAGATATCTGTATTATTAAAAATTGATATTTTAATCACTTCCACACAATTAAAATAAATAATGAATTTCTTAAACATCTACTTATATAAGCAATTTAACTTTTAGTCATTTCTAATTTTGAAACTTCAATTATTCTTCAGTTATAATGTTCAGGGCAAAGGTTTCTTTGATAAATAAGTACCTAGTAGTTTTTTTATTAATGAAATCAGTTTTATTAACTAAAATCTTCACGTAATTTAATATTTCTCAAGATGTATTCATTTCGAAGAATATCTTGTAATTTTGCAAAAATATCGAAAAAGTAAAACATTGAATATAAAAATTTAAGACAAGTTAGTTATAAACAAAGTTGAACATTACTTCTCAAAAAGTAAGCACTAAATAAATTAATTAATTTATAAATTTATTTAAAGATGCGATAAAATTTGTTTTGTATTGCATAAACTTTAACAGATTTTATTTAGTTTTTTATGAAACCCAACTTGAAATTAAAATGAAAGATTTTGGAGTTCGATTCATGGAGTAGTGTGGCTGTAGTTTTGTTTTTAATTTTTGCCATGGGACCAAAATAACCCCAATTAATTTTGAAGCATTTATAGCTTATTATTTGTTTTGTCTATCTCTTTAATTCTCGAGAATATTGCCGGCGAATAGAACAAGCTCTAATTGTTTAGAATATGTTCATGACCTAATTTTTCAATTTATTTAAAAAAATTACAATATGCTTTGTTTCTTTTTGAAGCGATTTTATAAATTGATTCATGAATAAATCCAGAAAAGTAAAGCGGCCCTTAAAAGAGCCGGAACCGTCCCTGCCTGTTAGTTCTTATTGGACAGACCAGTGACTGGTTCAGATACATTTCAACTTCCCATCCTGTTCAGTGGTGGGTTTGACTCGGTTTGACCGTTCTTGAAGAATCGGGTGTCTCAAATTGAAGATTCATCCATTTCTTACATCCTATCGAAAGGGTTCTAGTCATAAGGTGCAAAATGTTTGCGACAAAGACTTAAGATAGTGTGGGTGTTCGTCCTCGTGAGTTCTGTTTGTAGTAAATAAATAAAAAATATATTTTTCACAGACATTTCAATGCATCTTAAGTGAAAAGGGGTAAGTACCTAGATAAATAAAGGGGAATATGCTCAAAGCGGTGATGTATTTTTGTTTAAACAAATTATCTTATTTTATGACAGGTTTATAAAGCTCCCGGAAAACACCCCCTTTCGGAGGTTATTAGATCGCACGGCTTTTTTCATTGATTTTTTTTGTTTACATTTTGTTTGTATGGAAATAACAGTCATAACAATTAGATATTTTCAGGGCACGAAACCTGAATCGTATTTAAATCGTTGCATGCATTGTTGCATTTCTCTCATTTGTCTTAACTTGTAATGTGAAACCTGAAACTAACATGTGATTTCAATTTCCATGTGAATTTTTTACATGTAGCATGTTCTTTTCCTCCTAAATAATGAATGCCTATTACAATTTTTATTTATTAAATATACCCACTCGGTTTAAATGCATCATAACAAACCGATACTTCTTGAGGATAAGTTAATTGGGAAATCTATTTTTCAATTATTGTTTATTTTGTTCTACCGATATTGATAGTAACTAATCATTGTAAACTTGTTGCTCTTGTTTGTGACGACTGACCTCCCCCAAAGGTGCATCATTCGTGAGTTAAATTTAATTCAGAAAGCCTTTTTTTTATTAAACTGAGGATTAAATCAAAAAGTGGTATAGTGATAAACAATAATACTTATATCACATGTCACTTTCTGCCTCAGAAGGTGATGATGGGATACTTTATATCCAAGATAAATTTTTGAAGAAGAGAGTGAATGAAACATATAAATTATGTCTATAAGTAGGTACATAAATAATCTCTCATATAACTAATCGTATTATTCTATATCTGTATATACAGCGTGTCCCACTAGTGCGGGAAAGTCCAATATCTATGTTAAAATGAGGAATATATGGATTTTTCTTTTTACTGTGTTGCCACATTTCTCGGAATGTACAAATTAAAAATATATTCAACTGTACAGGGTGTTTCACTTTTCCTGGCCAGACACCAACTTTGGTTTTTTAAATGGAAACACACATTTTTTATATTTTTCTCGGATTCTACATCAAAAATAAAGGGTACTTTGTGTAGAATAGTTTTATTCAAATATTCACAGTTTTTGAGATATCTCGCTTGAAAGGTTTTTCTAGTCGATATTGTCTGCTTACATTTTCTGATACTGACAGGTTATACTAATAGCTAGTAAGCCCATTTTTTATCAGATGTTTAGTATAAGGATGACTTCTGAATCATGCTCCGCAAATAAGAAGTGGATCTTATTTGTGGAAGGGCGAAATGGGCGGTGACTATTAGACGCCTTCATTAAGCCATCTTTCTCTATCGCACGGATTTCTATGTCTTACTTTATCGCTCTCACGTAAGGGCAGATGGACCATCGGTACTTTCCGAACCTGTATAAGCTATTTGTAAACTTCGCATTTTTTCATAAAAAATGAGATTTCATGAAAAACTAACGGATTTTGGTATGGGAGCAGGTATAGCAAAGTTGTAGAGAATTTAATTCTCCATCTCATGGTATGAAAATATACAGGGTGTTGCATTTAAAAAATTCGAGATTTTTCAATTTTTCAATTGGCAATTTTGACATGATATTTTGGACACCCTGTATAACGCAGGCCAGTTTTTGGAGCATGATTCGGAAGAGTCATCCTTACTAAACATCTGATAAAAAAATGGGCTTAGTAGCTATTAGTATAACCTGTCAGTGTAAAAAAATGTAAGCAGCCAATGTCGACTAGAAAAACCTTTCAAACGAGATATCTCAAAAACTGTGAATATTTGAATAGAACTATTCTACACAAAGTACACTTTATTTTTGATGTAGAATCCGAAAAAAATATAAAAAATGTGTGTTTCCATTTAAAAAACCAAATTTGGTGTCTGGCCAGGAAAAGTGGAACACCCTGTATAGTTGAATATATTTTTAATTTGTACATTCCGAGAAATGTGGCAACACAGTAAAAAGGAAAATTCATATATTCCTCATTTTAACATAGATATTGGACTTTCCCGCACTAGTGGGACACGCTGTATAGGTATGTATAGTAGGTATTAGATATTGTATTGAAAGAAGATACCTACATAATATAGATCAAAAAAATTATGTCAGCCATAGATATGGAATATATTTTTAGAGGAGACCTTTAGTTAAGTGCCTAAAACGAAAATAATAAAAATTCCTAATAATTCCTGGTATGGGGTAGTTTTATGATGGAATTTAATTACATGGTTTAGGGTTTTCTCATATTACTTACAAGGCCTGTATTCTCTGGATATGGATAGACCATCAGTTAGGCGCCACATCTGTGGAACATTTAATGGAACAAGATTCTGCTGTGGTCTAAGTTCAGAAATTATGTAAATCGTATCAAGTACCTACCTATTATAAAACTTTATTATGTTCCTTATAGAGTGTGGTCGTTTTCTATTTCCTTACATCGGTTAAAATAGCATAAATTTAAGACTTCAATTTTTTAATTTTAAATGACTGAAACTGTTACGAAAATTGTAAAAACATGGATCAATAATAATTTTCCGTAGAATACAATAAACCATGGTTAAATAATCATTACGATGAAATAGAGAGCTAAGAATTTTTCTCTTCAACGCATTATTTTTGGTTGTACGCAAGTAGGTGTTTTGAATATGCAAATATGTTATGCATGTTCTGTAGAATGAAAATAAGGAAATATTGTGTTGTAGCTAACATAAATAACTGATGATGCTTGCTACTTACCTAAGTACTAGTATAGCAGCTGGCAGATTAAAATTCATCTTCAAAGCTCCTCAGTAGCTGAAATATTTTCCCTGGAGTTATTTATTTAAAATTTATTATTCGCAAGAAGAATTTGAAATGGGGAATACGTTTCTATTCTACAGTAAGGATTAATTACTATTTTAGATACAAAGTTGTTTTTGTTCCCGAAATACGTCGATTGTCAGTGGAAAGTGCATATTATATTTTATATAACGGAATTCACTGTAAATTTTTACATACAGGGTGGACAAATGAAAACGAAACAGAGCCATTTTCAGGAACTGCGTCAAGATTGTAGAAAAAAGCTCATACCTGTCGATTTTAGATTAAAGGGTATTCTTTGCTGGTATTTTTGGGGGTTGAGTAATATTTCTTTTGAAAGCTCTTACAATTCTGTTTACAATAGACTTTAAATTTTATAATTCCGAACAATACTTTGAGAAAAATTTACTTTTTAAAATTTAAATTATGTTTAGTTGCTTGCTTACTTACTACTTAGTTGATTAAATGTTCAAACTGATGACCGCCCGCTTCCATACAAGAATAAAGATTTTGTTCGAAACGTTCGCGCACATTCCGAAGCATTTCAGGAGTGATTCGACGGCATTTGTCGACGATTCTTTGACGCAA